CGTATCTGCTACAATGTCTCACGTCTCACCCACCAAACAGGGAGTTGGCGAGGCCGATCTCCGAGGAGCGGGTTACTAGGGTCACTTACACAGCTGGGGTGCCCATGCAGATGCGGATGTAGCTGCAGGCACCTAGTCTCCTATCTTGACTCGATGGTACGATACTAGCCACTAGATCGTCGCATTCAACATCAATTGAAGTCTGTGCTGACTTCGGCTGCACCGGACGGTCCGCAAGTTGTGTGGTGGATTTTGCTGGCAACAGCGGGAGCAAATATAGTACTACTATCAATTTGGGTACTAGTCTTGGCAACGTGCCAGCTGTGCGACCACTGGCATTTGATTTCGCAATGAAGCGACCTCATAGCGACCACCCCAAAAACCAGAGTACTAGAGGTACTGCTAGTTCAATTCTCCTGTGCAACGATTAGGTACACCCCACCGCGGCCTATTAGTGACAAACCAGAGTTTGCCACCAGGGCTGTGAACCCTGGAGAGCTCTCCATGTGTGGCCCGGCTTTGGATTAGGGCCCTTTCTTAGCGCGTGCGGAGGCGTCTTCCAGCCCCGACGGTTTCCCCGCGATGGATCGCTTCTGCTCTGCCCGGCCTGTTTTGCGCTCTGCCACTCGGCTCCCTTCTTCCTCCATGGAAAAAGTTCCCTCTTCTGTTCGACGGGTTCCTATCCGAGTTGCGTCTTGTTCGCGGCGCAAACAAGAAGGCTTAACGGTCATCGTGGGTACGTATCTCAAGTCAGTCACTCATCAGCAACTACTACCTCGGTCTCTTTCTCCCCGCTTGTAATTGCCTCGTAAGGACTAAAGACCGGTTTTTTTGCTCCTTTCGTCTTGGCCGATTGCTGACGTCTCCAAACCGTTTCATCAGACTGCGACTCCGTTCTCTCTCTCCTCTGATACTCCTGGAATCGCCAATGTCGGCCTGAAATGGATTCTGCCCAGTCGGGGGACGCCCAGGCACCCAACGTTCCAGCTGCCACCGAAGAACCAACCGGCGAAGCCACAACAAAACGTCGCTGGAGAAGGAATCGGATAGCCTGCGACTCCTGCCATTCGCGTCGCGTGCGATGCGATCGAGCCTTCCCCTGCTCGCGCTGTCTTCGCAGTGATATCCGGTGTGAATTCACTCGCGAACGACGAAAGAGAGGACGCATTGCGCGATCCCGACTGGTAGAGACCAAGACTGCTGTAGAGAAGGCGAGCCAGCCTGTGGAGACTCGAGATTCAGCACCGGCACCTGCAGAAGCAGGGTCTGGCCCAGTTCCAAATGGCTCTCCTTCCTCAACATTTCACCATAGATCGCCGGCGACAAATGATGTGACGGGGTCGGCCCCAAGTATCGACGAGCGGCGCTCTCAAGCGGATGTATCACTTCCTCCCAGAAAGTCAGGGCACACTGTTAATGCGACAGAGGAATGGCTAGCAGGCACGCATGTCTCTCCAGGATCCTATGAGCCCTTGGCAGGCATCGGCCCCGGAGAAGGCCCTTTCCCTCGAATCTTTGATATCTGGAATGGGGTCGACTTGGCCGGTTATAGCGACCCAGCATCTCAAGGCTCCAAGATAACGGGCCTTGGTCAGACACCAGCACCATCTGCAACGATCCTAAAATATCCGGTCCTCCAGCCAGTAATGCCCTATCTGGAATCGAGCTTGCCTCGAAAGCTAGTATACGACCTTCTCGACCTGTACTTTACAAGCGCGTTTTCCACACATATGCATCCTGTGTGCCATCACATTCATTGCTATGTTCTACGAAAGGCGTCTTTTCTAAGCCGAGAGGCTCCTCGACCTAGCAGCCCGGCACTTCTGGCCAGTATGCTTTGGGTGGCAGCGTTAGATGATCGTGCGTTTGCTTTGCCGATATCCCCACCCCAGAGAAAGAAAATATGTCAGTTCTTGTGTGCTCTAACGTTACGACTTTTGCGACCGTTGATTCACGTGTCATTCAAAGAGCAAGAAGGCGCCGCCGCGAGCGACCCTCTTCATGCTACGGTCGGTCAGGATGGCCCTCCTACAACCGTGCACCACCCGTTTGAGGTCGGTGGTGATGATCGGGGGTTAGTTGGCCCTGCAGGATCATTGGACGATGTTATCACATACATCCATGTGGCATCCATCATCTCCTCAAGCGAGCAAAAGGCCGCCAGCATGCGATGGTTCGTTTTCATTCAAGTAACTTGAAGCGAGCACGGAAGCTAACCAATCTTAGGTGGCATGCCGCCTTTACTCTTGCACGAGAATTGAAGTTGAACCAGGAGATCGAGGTGATGCCCAGTGAGGAGAATCACCCAGAGGGTTCGAGCCCGTCATTTGATTATTCACTTGCGGGATGGAGTGGCGTGGACACGGGCCCCTTTTTTGATTATTCAAACCCTGCCCGGCCAAGCTTGAATTGCGTATGCGACCGTGGCCACGAATTGCGTGGCGCTATCACCGAAGAGCATCGTGAAGAGCGTCGTCGGACATGGTGGCTCCTCTACATTATGGACCGTCACCTCGCTCTCTGCTACAATCGCCCCCTTGCTCTACTCGATGCTGAAAGCGAGGATCTCTTATTGCCTCTGGACGAAGGGTCATGGCAGTCAGGTAATATCCACAGCAATAGTCCCAAACCGGACGGACCACAGTGCCCACTGTCAGGCGAGAAGAACAAGCGCCGCGTTTTCCCTAATTTCATTTGCCATGATCATTCTATCTTCGGCTTCTTTCTCCCTCTGATGACCATTACTGGTGAATTAATCGACCTGAACCAAGCTCGGAACCATCCAATGCTTGGAGCACGCTTGAACGGAAAGGACCCCTGGGATGCGCACGTTGGTGAAGTACTACGCCAGCTTGAGCTTTACAAGGCTAGTCTCACTACGTTTGCAGCCACTGCGTCGGATCCCGATGCGCCCTTGTCCAGTGCCTTCCCCCCTAAACCCGATCAACAACCAGTTGAACCCTCACTCGCCCAGGCTTATTCATGGCATACTCAAACGGTCATCTCGTATGCATCCTACCTCGTGCATGTGCTGCATATTCTTCTTGTTGGCAAATGGGATCCTGTGTCGTTGATCGAGGATAAGGACTTCTGGACTTCATCGCCTGCATTCGCCTCCACCATCTCTCACGCTCTTGATGCGGCAGACTCAGTGGACCATATCTTACGCTACGACCCCGATATTAGTTTTATGCCGTATTTCTTCGGCATTCAATTGCTCCAAGGCAGCTTTCTTCTCCTGTTGATTGTGGAGCGGCTGCAGAAAGAAGCGGGGGAGGGTATTCTAAATGCCTGCGAGGTGATGATCCGAGCGACCGAGTCCTGCGTGGTGACGTTAAACACTGAATATCAACGGAACTTCCGACAGGTCATGCGGAGCGCCGTTGCGCAGGCGCGTGGGCGCCCTGTCAATCACAGTGAGATCCGGCATCGTCGCAAGGCCGTCTTAGCACTTTACCGGTGGACCCGGAAGGGCACTGGGTTGGCTCTTTAGATTTAGAGTTTCTCACAGCACCGATGCCCATTTCAGCGCACGGTTGCATCGGCTCCGCATCCGCAGGCCATCGGTTGGAGAGAGCTTAAATTATCTTCCGCCAGGGCATTCTTGATTCTAGGCCAGTCGCAGAGGCTGGCATATGCAGGCACGGTATCCCTCGCTCTCGGTTGATTACTCTGGCTGGATTGGGCTCGCTCTAGCTCGCTTCCAAGGCTCACTACCCCGTGCCTGCATCTGCCGGACCTTACCCCGGCATTGGCAATTAATCGCAACGGCTGTTGCTGTTAGTCCGAAGTACCTCGTAGTATTATTTATTATCTATCTTCCTTGGATACTGCCCTTCGATGTTACCCTGTACATATACGAGCATCTATGATGATTTTGGTGTCTTGTGGCTTGTTTGTTTTGGATCGCGGTTTCGAATTTATTGGAGAGTTCTTTCTCCTTTCTCCTGGACACCACTTCCCGAAGACCATGCTTCTTCCTCTTAGCAGAGCAAATATCGCTTCCGGGCATTAACCCGTCGCTAATGTCGGGCATCGCATGTTTCTGCACTTGCTGCAAGGACCAGGGGTGATGGGCGGCCCCTTCCCCTTACCCCAGATTTAACGAACGGGCCGTGCTCACTCGGACCGAACCTGGGCTTCTCGGTTAAATTGCAAAAGAACCGAAGCCCGTTGCGGGGAGAATAGCCATTGCATTGGGAATCGAACCAACAGGCGCTCAGCTTTAACAGCCTTTAATTTCCCTGGTTCGGCAGGCCGGGGAAGGTGCTCGGTTAATTGCAACACCAGAATATGGGGTATGCAAGGTTCAGCGACACCACATGGTCCCGTGAAGATCAGATGGTTCCTGGTTCGTCAAATCACTGAGCTTCCCCTCAAGCGTTCAAATGTATCCAAGCTCCATCAATGTCCGACTGCTCCAGTTTGTATTTTACCGACGCCAATGCGGCCGTGGTCGCCCACTTCCTCCAGCTACAGCGACACAATGACGAACTCAATTTCAAGATTCATTTAGCACGCCCCTCGGCTGCATTGGTCTGCGGAGTATGTCTTATAAGCATCAATCGCCGTCGTGCGCGATTTCTCGACGAGGCCTTCGTTGCGCATGCCATAGTTCAACAAACAATACAAAGTCTCTCCAGAGCCAGCACCCCTCATTATTGAATGCTGTGGTGTAATGCTTTCTACGATTTGATCGAACCAGTATAACAGCATAGATACCATCGCTCGACTAGCCGCATCACCACGCGGAAATCCAGCACAATGCTGCATACCAGCCATCCTCAAGAGTTCGAGAAATGGACTTCCATGGGCCCGTCCGACACTCAAATGCTCGGCCTGGAGTCTAATTTCACGGATGAGGAGTTTTACGGAGGCCATCTAGGTCTCAACGGGTTTGATCTTTCATCATCACAATTGCTGAGCCCGGAGCTCTGTCCAGAATTCGACTTGGCGACAGGCGAGACGGGCTCGGGCCTCTATCGTCCCTCGCAACCCATGGGTGTTGCTAATGCTTTGGATGTACCACGATTGGCGGACAAAATAACTTCAATGTGTGTCCTCGGGTGTGCGCCATGGTCATGGCATGATCAAAGGATTCCAGGACTTTCCGGCTGACACTGGCTGCTGCACTAGATTCGGAGAATCCACATTCAACACCGCCCCCGATACCAAACCCACCGCCGCCGATTTTTCTTTAGACGATTTGCTCCGTTCGGCATCCCAATTAGCTACTGAACGCGCGCTCTACATGAACATTCCCACAAGTACTCCTTCTCCGCGAGCATCACACGACAGCCCCAGCTCGCGACTGCACTTCGTCCAGTCGCCTCTTCTCGATGACCCCTGCAGCTCACCGGGCATGAGCCAACAGTCATACAGTGGGAGTGAGGGGGACTGGGACCGGGATTTCAATCTGGGTGAGCCGGTTCAGTTCTACGGACTCTCCGATATTGGGTTTCCCGACTCAGTCTCACTGCATCACGCGCTGGACGATGGACTGGTTCAACCTCCGTTTGGCGACCCACTGCCCACTATCAGCAACGCAGAAGCAAGCAGCAAAAGCCTGTCCAGGGAAATTAGCTTCACCATGGACTTGGACGAAAATGGGCTTACCCCGCTGGAAATGCCGGATGGAAGCACCCGTTTCACGGCCAACTGGCTCCCCGTGGACCCCGAAGGTGGATTCACCATCCGAGCACCACCCACCGCGCGCAAGCCTGAGCCCAACAGCGATAGCAATCACCAGATGGCGCAAGACACTGGAGACTATCTCTTCGCACGAAACGCTTTCATCTCTATCCCGACGGTTACCGGTCTATCGTCCACGGCAGTATGAGCTGATTGACACAGAACTCAGTCGACTACGCACCTGCGGAGCACCGCAGCATCTGCACTGCACCCAGCCACTAGATTGCGGGCCACCACCGACCGGGCCGCCCGATTCGTCCACCCGACCATCGCGCCGGTCGCAGCGGCGCCGGAGAAATTCACGGACGTTGCGCCAATCAATGCCCCAGCTTCAAGCAAAACAATCTCTCAGAGGGGGACGCGATTCCCCTTAGTGTGCAGCCCAGCATTCAATAAGCCCACACCCTCCTCTCTCTCTCTCTCTCTCTCTCTCTCCCTAGTTACTGAGTGCTGCGTGCTGACGCTCTGCGTAACCTTGAGAAGGGTGCTCGTTGGCTGATGCACACACAGTCTCTTTAGCACCAAAGGAAAAGAAATTGCCAATGGGGCCATAAACTATTTCTTTTCTCTCTAGGACTGACTGGGCGTGACGAAATGAAAAACAACCACTCACTCAAACCCCCCTCCCCCTCCCAAGAGCACTGAGAAGAGCCAAGATCCGTGCTACATGCATCGTCATGTGAGCGGGAAAAAAAAATAAATAATACAATAATAATACAATCCAGACCCAGACCGCACACTGTCTTTCCCTTCCCCCGACATGTGATCTGTTTCGTTTGCCTTATCGAATGGTTATCGTCCGCTCAGACCCCCTCTGGCCCACATAGACAAGGTGGGCGGCGCTGTCTGTTGGCCTTGCTTCGTTCTGCGTCCTTCTCCTGCATGGTAGACAGGTCTACTCCGTACCTTAGTAAGACACAAGTCACAGAGGTTCAGAAATACCCTGCTGCGATCATTGGGGGAGAGGTTGGACTGCTTAAGGGCCCGGTGAAAGGAACTAAAAGCGGAATTTCAATGTACATTCGCTGTAGATAATGACGTTATGAGAAAATATATTAATGGTGATAATGATGATGATGATTTTGTCGCTTATGGCACTCTGTACGATGAAGTAATTTTGCATGGGTTTTAAAATTATGGGGCAAATTTATTGCTTTTTTTTTGATTGTTTTTTGATTACTAGAATTGATTCATCAGCCATTGTTATGCAGTGAGTATCGCTGTACGGAATTGCAGTTGTATAATCTGGAGCAATGAGGTCGTGAGGAAAAGTAAATATATGTCGTATTTATATAGTATTTACTAGTACCTTTGCATCATATGTAGAAATGAGATACCGTGTGAGGTACTTGAAGTCTAATCAGTTAGAGATGGTTTACAAACATGTTGGATGTCCTCTGCATTTGATACCGGAATTACCCTATTTCTCAGTACTTGTGACTTAGTAGTAAGTAGTAATGGAGAAGATCTTGCCCACTGCCTGCTTTAAGAAAACGCTCGTAATAACTGAACATCAAAGCCTGTATCCAGCCATAACGCCTATATCTAGAAATAAAAGTAAATAATGTGATCACACGTAGCATGGTCATGACAATCGTAAAGCCTCCTCGCGTGTATGAGTCTTCCGCTCGAAAAGACGAAACAAGGGAGGATATGCAGAGGAATATATGGAAAATAAAAATATCAGCAAACAAGTCATGCCTTTCCTTCAGCCTTCACTGAAGATGATGTGCATTTGTTGGAAAACACAGGGAGCTCGAATTTCCGACCGATATAGGTAAACATCTCCGCCATGGATTCCTTCTCGACCATGCCGTCTGCGAAGTTGTCGAATGCAGTGCGGAGAATGAACATAACTCGTGATATTAGACAGCCCGGGATGTTCTGAGTGTAGTATTTCATGCTGCGACAGATGTTGCACGCGTACTGATATCGTTCCTGGAGTCCGAGAACGCTGACTAGTCCCGAGTCGGTGGTGGAGATGATCAGACCCAAGGCCCAGTAGAAGGTCATTGATGTCGCTAGAAGCAGGTCCGGGTACATAATATTCTGTCCCACTATCACTTGCATTGTGCTGGGGTTGCGGCACCTAAATTTGGGGAAGTCGTCGGTTGGGTCTGCTTTGCTTGGACTTTCCTCCCATAGTCCACCTAACGGGTATGTGTCGGCATACATGTTCTTCCATACTTGGAGGAGACCTTGAAGTTCGGTAGCCCGTTCCCAAATGGCACTCTGCATGTTGACTAGCTCCGATGGGGGCTTGTTGCCCCCCTTTAGTGACGCTAAGAACTCGTCAACTTGAGCAAGGTATCCGGGAATATGCACTGCAACATCCAGCAGGCGTTGGAGGATGTCCTTAGCCGGTCCGTCCCCAGGCCATGGGACTGTCAACCAATCTTTTTCCGCAAGGAAAGTAGGCTTCCGATGAACCAAGGCTGCCGTGACCTGGCCAGTTTGTCAGAGTCGATGCTAGGAATATCGATGGTAGTCAATCATACCCAATACATCCGAAGGTCAACATACAAAGAGCGCTCAATGCCATATCGATGTCGATACGGTGTCCGAGTCCGTAAAAGTTCCAAACCACCGAGCTGATGTTTGAGAAGCGAGTCTTTTGACGTTTGTTTGAAGGCCTATTGTCACATTAGTCAGGAATCGCGCAAGCGACAACCAAGACTCACTTCTATGATAGTAGCTAGGAGAACGACCACAAGGACCTCGGTCGACTTGCCCTGCTGAGGGTCATACAAAGCATGCTGAAGAGAGCGCAAGACTCGGAGGTAACGCGAGTGACCAGCTACCTCGACTGATCGATTTCCATCGCGCCGGCCAGCAAACGTGAGGGATGCCGCTTCAAACGCACTGCACAGAATCGGCGAAAAGACTCGCAAGGACCGAGCTTCACGTAAAGCGATGGTGCCGCTGACTTGGGCAGGGCTGAAATCATTAACCAAGCGTTCAACATAAAATTCAATTAATGCGTTAGCTAGATTGGGATCAGTAAGAATGACTTTCTCTTTCGACAATGGTGGAGAGGAGTAACGACCTGGACCCTGGTGAGCGAGAGGGATATGCAAAGGTCGGGAAGGGTATGATAACCACGTACTTTCTTTACGTGTACGTTGCTCCTCCAGCACGACTGCATTGGGTGAAGGCAAAGACTCATCGTCTGGGGCCTTGGAAGAAAGGTCCAGTTCGTCCAACGAGTCGTCTCCATCGTCAACTGAGTTGTGCGACTCCTTGATGGAGTAAAGCGCCTGGCTGCTCGGTAGCGGTCCGTCTTCATCCTTTATGGCGGGAAGATTGGCGAGTTGGCGAGCCTCGGCAAGCTGCTGTTTCAGATTCTCACAGGACCGAAGAAGGTTCTCGATCAAAGCCGACTGCTGGATGTAATGGCGGTCCCGCTTGCTGGTGCCGTATTCGCACTCGGACGGTGTACCGCGGAGGCAGCAGGCACCGCACGGCTTTACTCGGTCGCACTGTCAAGTTGCGCGTTAGTCAGAGGGCACGACACCACGATCGTGAGACCTGCTCGGCATTTAAGACGGCCCCCAGCCCCCAAAGCATGCGCCGCGAACAATGGGGCATTCATCTCAAAGACAGCCATACCTTGACTTTGCGTTTGTGGCAGTTTAAACACGAATATGTGGGTCGGATCTTCTTTCGAGTGCCCGCTTTGGCTGCCCCCGAAGCCTCAGGCGAATTGTTTCTGGTGCCATTCCCAGAAGACATCTCGTTTACTCGCGTCCTGCTCGGCGTCGTCCGGAATATAGCGGGCTACTGAATGTTGGGTCTGATGGCGCGGGCCGAAGGCAAATCGTCACTTGGCCCCGGAACACTGACCGTGTCGCTGTCAGGTAGAGAGAGAGATACTTTATGCGAACAGGACGCAGGTTGCTAAATCGCTGATGGGCGAACAAAATCTATTGTGACACTCATTAAAACTCGGGGGGGTCTCTGAATTGGACTTGTAGCTCCGGCTAGTAAGGGATCATAGAGACACTTTTGAGTGGTGGCTTACACCAGGATAATGACGATGTTCAGAGACCATCGCTTTGGCGGGAGACTTTTGTGCACCTTATTCCGACCTGTCTTGGTTCCGAATGATCCTAGACCCGTGGCTTCTTGAACGCTAATTTCATGCCGGCCTGTCAGATTTCATGCTAGGGCCCTGTCGGCTGTCCGCCTTTTTATTTGTGACCGCGCGGATAAGGCAGAGGCGCACTCCGTCCTTCCGTACCTCAGCTGAACGCTCGCCGGGGTTTGGTCTTCCTGGCTCTTTCCTGGTCCTTATGTTCCCGCTCTCCACCTTTGGTGCAGGGGGTTGTGGTGGAGGTCGCAACAACCAGACCAAACGGATGATGATGCGATAACGGACGTTGCACCAGAGTATCCTTGTGACCTATCACCCCATCCAAAACAGAAACAAAATAGTCTACTCCGTACCGCGCGAGTGATCAATTGAGCAACACCAATGTCTCTCACCAACGCTCCTCGGTATTTCGGTACACAGCGATGTACCGGACAGAAGGCTCCCGACGTGTCCTGGCTGCCTAGGCCTGTGTGATTATGGCTCGAGCAAATGCAGGCTCGTTGAGGGCGGGATTCATTGGGGGACCTAAAGGGGCGAGGGCAGACACCCCCTCTCAGGCAGTTGGGGGATCTTGCAGGGATCGGCGGTTTTAGCGTCGTGCGACAGGCTCGAAAAGCGGTGGTGATGCTTCGCTTTCCGGTTGGTGCGATCGGAGCTGGGGATGGACAGCAGCTGCATGGTCAGTCGCGAATGCAATACTATGGGGTATGAGAGTTGCCCAGTATCCCTGCTGGACAACTCCATGATATTTCCATCTGATGCGTCTAAGCCGGTTCATCAACAAACGGCGTACAGCTTCGCAGAGGCAAGCCTAAGAAACGACAGAGACCCTGTCAGCAAGCGATCCAGCGCCTTAGGCCACGCAAACTAGTCCTAGTGCCGCGCTTATGTATGTCTTGCGCGAAGAGAAAAAGAAAAAAGGCACCACGAAGAAGCGGAAACATAAAAAAAAAAAAAAAAAAAAAAAAAAAAAAAAAAAAAAAAAAAAAAAAAAAAAAAAAAAAAAAAGCAAAGAAAAAGGCGGACCGGATAATCATCAAGACAGACGACCAACACGCTCTAGTGATGATTCTCCTTGCAGAGAATCCTGAAATCTTCACACATCAGATCGTCAAGGGATACGCTTTTCTTGCTTCTGACAGACCGTCTACCCTTTTCTTCCACGGGATTCTGGCAGGGCGACAAAAGAGCGCACTATAATATCTCTCTTATAGTCTTTCCCGATGTTGATTCGTGTTCACGTTCGGCCGGAATGGTCAGCAATTTCGGACTTTGTTCATCCCTGTCGATGAAGGTAAACGGGAAAGGAATGATTCAATTTCTAATCCATGCACAGGATGATATGACGTGGGAAATGAGTCGAGGGGCAAGTGAGTTGATAGAGCGGAAAGGAGGGAGGCGAAGACGAGAAACTAAAGTCACCTGCTCTTGTCGTCTCTTCCCACTTCCTCCTCCTTGTTTTACTCCCTCCATCTCCACCATCCGGAATATGACACACGCAGTATCTTGGGACTAAACAGACAGCCACTAGCGTATTCGTGATCTTTATATCCTGACTTAGTCCAATTCATATACCAGATTCGGAACCGTGTCACATTATTTTTTTCAATGTGCGGTTTCCCCCATGCCTTTCTGGTCAGCTATGCGGATCGTTCATGGACAACGGCAAAGAGGGCAGTCGGACAAACGAAATGCGAGTTGGGATGAATTCCCTATTTTTAAGAGAGAATTAGAGGAACAATCTTGATACTGACATTGATACTTAGCAATCCTGCTACCGCCCAACGGAGTCACTGCTAAGAAACATGGACACTTAAGCAATAGTATAGTTGGTAAACTACTACCTCTTATACTCTATAGTATGATAACATATAGTATTCGACATTTGGCGAGGCTCCACGGCGCTTGCCAATCGCATTATTAGCCAGACCTGCCACCTCTAAGCCTTCCATGTTTGGAATGGTAAAGACGGTAGGAAATAGTCGGTTGATTCGTTAAGGGGAGAGGAAGTGAGTTATTAACAGGAAAAATAGCACTAATCCGGGAATGACATGAGCGCAAGCGAGCAGCTGGCCAAACACTGTTGTGGGCAAACAAAGAAACCTTCTTAGCTCTTACTGGCCTCGTCATCTTTCCCGATAACTACCGGTTCCTTTCCTTCAACATATACGAGACCAGATTAAGTCTGGATCGACCAGGGCCCTCCTTTGGAGTTTTTTGATTATCATGGTAATATTCAATGTGGATGTGCTCTGATTTGTCTAGTCAATGTATCCTCACATGAGTCGCTATAGCAAGTATATCGAGTCAATAGCTTTGGAGTCATAATGGGTGAGCGCCGTCTTCCGTCTTTCCCGCTCGGATATCCAAAGATTCTGGATCGATCTACTTGAGTCCGTTTCTTTTGCTGGGCGAGCATTATCATACTATGAATTCTCATCACAAATTGTTGACATGGAATCCCTGAAAAGTTATTATATCTATCCCGGAGACAAGCAACGGTAGTGATTTACAGCTGGCTCGGTCGTCTCAAGCAGTCATCGCCTCCCTGGGGATTTTTCCAGATCTTCGGTCGGGACAATGTTTGATCATTGAAAATGACTATATCATGCCAGGAGTAGAATTCTTATCTACTATAGACACACGGAGGCCAAGGCTTCACAGGGATCTACAAGACCACGACAGAAGGGTGCCAGATAGTCACCCTTGTTACGGGTATGCAACATCCGAATCTCAGCCTTTGCCACTCCTCTACACTCAGAGCTTTGCCTTTGATCCGTCATCATAACTAACTGCGAAGCTGTAGGCTGGATCATAATGCATACCCCAATACCCGTCCCAGATCTTCTTCGTGATCGGACCAATCCGCCCCCCATTTACAGGCTTGCCATCCAGCTCAGTGATGGGCATGATTCCACCTGCTGTTGTGCACATGAATATCTCATCACAGCGGTATACCAACTCCACCGGCACAGCCTCGAGATGAACTTGGAGACCGCACGCTCGTGCAACATCAATGACACTTGTCCTGGTGACACCATGCAGCACACCGCGATCAGGCGTATAAATGGCACCGTCCTTGATTAGAACGATATTGTATCCGGACCCCTCGGTGAGATGGCCATCTCCATCCGTCAGGAACGGGTACATGGAGCCTCGATCGGCGGCCTCGAGCATACCTCGGGTCAGGTCACCCCATTGTAGGTTCTTTACAGTAGGATCAATAGCTCCTGGGGGCACCCGACGAACAGTTCGAGTAACAACAGCACTTCCACCGACCCGTTGAACCTCTGGTTCCATTACCCATACATAGGGTTGTACAAACATGTACAGGTTGTTCACCAAGTCCTCCGGCTTGGCACCGCGAACACTCTGCAATCCCCGCGTCACAATCAAAGCCACATATGCATCTCGAATACCACCTTGAGCGACCATCCTAACCAGGGATTGTTTCACTTCATCGCGGGAAATGGGCAACTTGAGACGCGACTTCGCGCAGGCCAATTCGAGTCGGGAAAGGTGGTCATCTAGGCGAAAGAACCGGCCATCCCAGACGGAGATGACATCGTAGGTTAAATCACTGCGTAAAAAGCCTTGATCAATTAGGGGGATCCGGGCCTCCCTGAGGGGGACGAGTTGCCCTTCAACCCAGGCGATTCCCTTGGCGTAGGGGTTTTTACTGGCTTCTAGTGTCGCGCGGCGAGTGGCATATTCAGTAAGAACTTGGTTCATGGATGCCATGATGCAGTAGACTAAGGTGTAAGGACCGATACTAGAATGAGAGGTCGTAATTTTTAATAGTGATGATGACCGAGAAGTGAGGGATACCCCAAGGGGGGCCCGGGCCGCAAGGCAGCTTGGGAGGATGGGGTGGACTATTAACGTGTCTTCAAGGCAGGCTACCACGTTGAGTCCGATCGGAGGAGTGTGCCTATCAGAGGGTGCATGATGCTGTCGGTTGGCCACCGATAAGGAGCAAAGCGAGCACCCTTGCCTACTACCAGGCACTCTACCAAGGCTACGGAAAGTACAAAATTATCGAGCGGGGTATGTTGTCCCAGATGCTCGGAACTGTTGGATTACTGACACACACTACTCCTGGACTTCACATGCATACGCATATTGCTTGACACTATAATGATGTGGACTAGGGTCCTTGCGGCTGGTTGGATGGGTAGCACCACTACCAACGAGCAGGGTCGAACAGAAATATATTCATCATTCGACACGGCTTGTACTCACCGGGCCGAGGTAGACAGTCAAGTTCAGCTTTTTTGGGAGGCTCTCCGATGTCCATTCAGGCGGTTGGTTATAATGTTGATCTACGTCGGATACCCTTGCATAAATGTTCATAACCACGAGGGAGCTGGGCCTTCTCCCACCATCATGCTCTGCGAGGGGACATTGAATTCAGTAGGCACAATTGAGAGCCTTAGAGGACTCTAGCCATGTCTGCCAACGGATAGATTGATTTTACAGCTGTCAGTGAACTGAAGCCTTTGCCTGTCAATATAGTCCTCATCTTGGCCGGCCGGATAGGCTTCCGTAGGCGGGGCCGGCCGCGCGCTCCACTGGCGTCCCCGCTGCTCCTGTCACTTTCTTCCCCCTTGATATCTAGACCTGTATATACAGTAGTCAACGATCATCCATCGTACGCGTCGGTAATGATAATGATTCTTTCTTTTGTACCTCCTCTACTTTCTGCTCGGCTTCTAGCAAGATGACACAGCAATGGGCCCGAACGTTGGTACGTGCTCGCGCCACGCGTCGATCATCGCCTTCCTCTCTTTCAATGAAATATTTAAGATGGCCGCATGAACCATTGAGTCTTCACATATCGGCCACTGGAGTATTTCAGATAAATCACGCAGTGTACTCCACATCAGCTTGTGACGCCTTCCCAATTTCCCCCGCTCATAATCATTACAAGTTTAATGGTGTGCGCATGGGTTTCGATCCCTATAATTACACTAGCGGACACTGGCTTCGTGACGACAAGGAAGAGCGAGCCTCTCGTTACATCAAGTTTGACTTTGATGCCCTCTGTCGCAAGATCCTTGATCTGTCGCCCAAGGCAAGTTCCATCGCAGACTGTCAGAAGATTGAAGGAGGCTTCAATAGAGTCTTTGTCTTTGTGCTAAATGATGATACACGAGTGGTGGCGAAACTCCCGTTCGCGCTGGCTGGTCCATCACGGCTAACCACCGGCTCTGAGATCGCTACTATTAAATACTGTAAGCCCTTGCTATCATAATTTTGCTTCACTAGCTAAACATGCACTCTCCTTCAGTGCAAGCCAATACTACAGTTCCTATACCCAGAATTCTTGACTGGAGTGACGATGCCACGAGCATCAATAATACCCTTGGCAGCGAATACATCATCATGGAGCATGCAAATGGTGTTCAATTGCATAAGAAATGGCATGAAATGTCTGATAAGCAGCGTGTCAAATGCATAGACGCAATTTACCGGAACCTTAAGGAAGTGGTTGACCTACAGTTTCCGTGCTTTGGGAGTCTGTATTCTATACACAGTCCCGTATGCCCTGACAAAAGGCATCCGCTTGATGGAGACTTCTGTATCGGGCCACATTGCGAGACCAGATACTGGAACTCTACAGCTTCACAAGATCTTAACCCAAACCGGGGGCCCTGTAAGTTACTCAAGCCAAAGTCTATGTCATGACTTATGACTAACTAGGGGTAGGGACCAATCTTCAGCAGTACTGTGATGGCCTTGTTGATGCTGGTCTGTCGAGGCTTCCCACTGTTGATCTGGGAAGGAGAATGCGGCCGATGTATCACGGCTCAGTCGAAACACATAAAATCCTTCTAGCTCATACACGAACTCTACTGAGATGTATGTCTCAGGATTCTCGGATAAGAGAGTGTGCAACACCGGTGTTGTTCCACCCGGACCTCCACAAGAGGAACATATTTGCTTCAGAGGATGATCCTTCTGTGATCGCTGGTATAATTGACTGGCAAGCTGCTAGCATCGAGCCAGCATTTTGGTATGCGGATGAGATTCCTGACTTTGCAACGGAGAACGAGGTCTGCACCGGAGCATTTGATGTCTGCAGCCAATTTCTCATACCCACACTCTCAAAACCGAGATTGGTGGACCAAAACCTATTTCGGCCATTTCGCTACAGTTACAGGACATGGAAGGATGGCGCTGTAGCACTACACCACGACTTAATTGACACATCTCGAAATTGGGAAAGTCTAGGGTTTGCAGGACGATGTCCTTACGCATTACCCCCACCGCCTGAACACGCAGATCATCAGAAGAAGTATAGACTTTTCGAGGCAGCGCATAACCTGCGTTATGATCTGGCAGGCTTGCTCAACACAGCCACTGATGGCTGGGTGCCAACGAGTGACTGGGAGGCGGCGCAGACAGCGCATCATGAGATGTTTGAGGGAATGCTGCAGGCTGTATTGACTAATCCAGACATTGATGATCCTGATGAGCCTGTGAAGGACGAAGAGACACTTAGATCCATATGGCCTTTTGATATCTAAGATCCCTCTTCAGTCGGTTTGTCTGAATAAAGGAGTCATCCCACAATACCCATCACATATCACACTATTCAGCGCCTATCTTACGGGGCTACCTACTGCATAGGGCGCTGAAATGATAATTCACAGTTTCCAAAGATGGTTTAGATTCCGCAATTGTCAAAATGAGAACATTAACATTCACCGGCGGACAGATCAGATCAACATCTTCTTTTGACAAAAGGTGGTGAGTGAGGTATGACCCCGACAATGGGGCGCCACTTCTCGCCTCCCGGGGGGAAGCAGCCCAAGTGGTCAAGGCACAGGCTTCCAGAACAGCGCTGACGAAATACACTGTGGAGGACGGGCAAGTCGCGTATGAGGATATGGATCTACTATTGAATCAAGATCCACCTTATAGTGGGCTAGTTTAATATCCGCAAGTGATCGACCTCCCGCGTGTTCCCCCGGTTTGTCCCTGTCAGCAAACTTCGATAGTCGATCGGCTAACTTCTCCGTCAGATGCTCGACCACGCGTAGACCTCGTATCCATGAGCTAATAACGCCCTTGCTTCAGGAACCCCCTGATGCCGGTGAGGCGATCCTCTGCCGTTCATACCCTTAATCGTGCTTCATTCAGCGATCCTTCAGTCTTTCTCCGCATCCGCACTCTCCCCTGCATATGTTCCCACTTGCGCCATCCAGGCCATGGGGAGCAAATCGGAGGCCTGAGCGGCCTTGTTGGCCCCATTGTCTTCGCATCCACGTCCAGATCGTCTTCTTCTTGGACCCTGAGGGTGGCGACCCTGGGCGACTTTGAATAAATAACCCACTAACCCCTCTCCCCCCTCACCACGACATGCCCATCTTGTCAACCATGTGTTCCCCTCACCCATGCTCCTCAAACGCGACACCCCTTCAGGGCGCCTTCTTCCCGACATATACCGAGACTCCCACCAAGTCCACGTCTTCACGGCCTTTGCCGCCATCGCCTGCTATAATGCCATTGAACTCGTCATTCTCTGTCTCTCGACCTTCAAACGCCGAGGAAGCCTTTACTTCTGGTCCCTTCTCGTTGCCTCCCTAAGCATCGTCCCGCAGTGCGTCGGGTATATTCTCCTCTTCTCCCGACCCCAAATATCCCCCTACGGTTCCGCCACTCTTATCATGGTCGGCTGGTGCGGCATGATAACCGGCCACTCACTCGTGCTCTGGTCCCGTCTCCATCTGGTTCTCCAGGACCCCACAACCCTTCGCTATCTTCTCCGTCTAATCATCCTGGACGACATCCTCCTCCAAATCCCCATAACCGTTCTCTTATACGGCACCGTTTCCACGCAGTGGGAACTCTTCAATCACGGGTACAATATCATGGAGCGGATCCAGCTCGTCGGCTTCTGTCTCCAAGAAGGTCTCCTGTCGGGTCTGTATGTATGGGAGGCAGCGAAACTGCTACGACTTCGACCTGAAGACCGACATCGTCGTATTCTGGCGCAGCTGATCGGGATCAATATCCTGGTCTTGATCCTTGATGTTGCCGTCGTCGGCATTCAGTATGCGGGCTACTATGCCTTGCAGGTCATGTTCAAGCCCGTCGCTTATAGCATTAAGCTGAAGCTGGAGTACGCTATCCTGGGTCGACTGGTGAATGTTGTCAAGAAGGTCAACACCCAGGAGTCACTGAGTACGCAGGGCTTTGATATGCTGCCTTCGTCTTCGGAGGGATTGAGACCGAGGCTGGAGCCCCATGTAGATGGCCCTGGTGGCTTTCTGCACCCTCAGAAGGTGTATACTTCGTCTCGTGGCTCATAAAAGCCTTTGTATATAATGATTATAGAATTTCACGGCCGTATCATCTCGGATGTAGTGCTTTGTCTCCTTTTCAATTTCTTATAGATGATGTACCCTCGTGGTGCTTGGTATGCCCTCTTCATCACTATTATAAACACACCTTTTTGATAAATCACAATTTCATTCCATCGAATACTAACTTCCACAGATCTTCAAACCGTCACTGCATCTCGAACTCGCAACCGACACTGTGCTAAAAACACCACTAGCAGTGTACACAAACGCCCAACTCTATCTCAACCAATCCATGCACCATAACTCCAGCACCATCATCCCAGATACCAAGGCATCAACAGCATAAATCAGAACGTCCTGACACTCTTCAGATCACACCAACTCCCACGGATTAATACTATCATCCCTGATTCTGTCCCGATCCTCCAACTGCCTCACCCTCCTCCTCAAGGTCCCCAAATGCATCTCCATCTCTGTAACAGCCTGTCTCAAGAACGGCAAGTCATCGATCGTCTCTGGTCCCAGCGGGAAGGGAAGAATACTCCCATCAAGGCGAGAAGTACCGGGTGAGGAGGTGAGCAGATCGTTTCTTTCTGATTTGATTCGCCGGTCTGAATCACGCTTTAAATGACTGGTATAGCTCATATCGCTTCTGCTAGGAGTCGGTGTCGCAATCCTCGGTCTCAGATTGTACGGTCTCTGCCGAGTAAATCTGTTCCCTCGTCTCCGACTACCACCACGACCGCGACCGCGACCAGCAGCGGCAGCAACAGGCACAGCAGTCAAATACCTCCTGGAACCAGACGGCGGCGGAGTCATAGGCCCAGCTCCAGCTCCGCCTTCACTCTCCATCTCATCCTTCACCCGACTCGGCGTCTCAGGTTCCTCAAGCTGAGTATCTAGCACAGCACACACAGACACATAATAATCAGCTCCCACACCTCCCGAGAAAAAACATGAATAAGTACTTACTAAGACTACACCCCCTCCTACTAAACCGACACGCCGCACAAGCGCCATGCACACCCATTCCCTCCCTCGTATCGAACCCCACCACGCACGTCTTCCACACGCTCTTACCCACCCGGCAATGAACGCACGGCTCCAACGGCTCGCATCCCCGAGTCTGCGCGAACGCCGCAGTCAATGATACGACGTCCTTGAGCGGGCGACGGAGGGGCTCGCCGGTTTCGTCGTCAATGCGCCAGTCTAAGTGTCTGAGGACGGGCAGTTGATGGTACTCGAGCATTGAAGAGCTGGGGCGTGCGCCGAGGAGGGGGAGGTCGTCGTAGGTGATACCAGGGAGGCCTGGGTTTGGTTAGTTGATTGGTTTGGGTAGGAATTGGGGAAGGGGGGTTTTTCGTACGCTCTGAGGGGATTTCAACCCGGAAGTCGGGGATTGGACTAGGGCTGTGGTGGGTTGGTGGTGAGGTTGAGAGATGAGGTTGAGGTTGGGGATAGTTAAAGATGCGGAACATGATTGGTGCTGGTTGTTGTGGTTCTTGCATTTGGGATTGTTTTTGTGTTTCTTTAAGAAAGGAGATAGAGATTGATGGAAGGGGAAGTTGAGTTGGTAGAGAAGAGGGAGGGTCTCGATGATGAAAGATATAGAAGAGGGATGACTATGGTAAGGAGTGTGTTACTTGCTAGCAGCATCGGGGCTGATTGTAGGGCAATGTATGTTGGTAGTAAGTGGGACCGTAGTGAATGATATGTGGTTCTATATGCTGAGATGATGTATCAGTGGTGCCGGGTAAATTCAGATCTACAGATCTGAAGCTATCAAGTATATAGTATAAGACGAAAGCCATTTCTTCGACATCACATATGACGAGATATTCGATGAGTTGAATCAAAGCACGGAAAAGCAATTACTCAACACTAAACATCGAGTTTCTTTGAGCTTTGGGTTCAATGGAATCCCACAAATAATTGAGCACGGGGCCCAGGAATTCCAATGAATCCAGCAATAGTGGAGTGGTCAAGGCCTCAGACGGGAAATTGGGATTCACATGCACAGTTGCTCCTGCCACAGACGACAATGGCCTTACGTCTCAGCTTGAGCTCCCAGTGGCTCTATGTCGAGTTTACACTATGATTTGGTATGAGTCTTTTACCCTTCACTTACATCTTACCCTTTCCTGAGACGGATGGACGGAGACTCATTTGGAGACTCAGTAGCTCTCACCTAAAAGGGTAGCCGGCCTCAGGAGATCGTGAGGAATGATATCGGAGAGTATAGACGTTTTTCTGTCTTTCCTTGAACTCGTCTATCCCCGATGAGACTGGCAGGCCCAGATATTTCCGCGGTCTTCTCCCTCGCATTTTTTTCGTTGGCATTTACTTATGAGACTAGGTACACTGGCGGACACAAGGTTATTGTCCACGGGATCGTAATGATTCGCTTAGAAGAGTAATAGAATGATATCTATGAAACTAGACTCATTTTTGCCATTACTAAAAGCTACCACTAAGGGCCCAGTTCTGGACTACTGTACTTTGTTAGGGAATCCTTCATAAACCCTGACCAATATTATCCAGCGACTCAATTGAGGCTGTTCCCAACTGGGATCAAGCACCGAAATATCTTCCATCCTTCCCATCTACTTTCCCAAGCAGCAATTCCCTCAATGCCTCATCAGCACCAACCAACTGTTCCATCTCCTTCGCGAATCCCTCCTTCGCTTCAACCGCCCCTTCATCCTCAGCAACCTCCTCATCTGGGTTCTGCAAAGCCATTCTCAGCAAATAGACCACGCCCTTTAGCTGCATCTTCAGTTTAGTCAAATCTTCCTTTTTGCCCTCTTTCCCTCGCTCTGCGACCTCTTCATCCACCACATTGACCCAGCATGCCGCCGCGGCACCCAGAATCTCTCCTCTCCATCGCCAAATCCTCGGGTGTGCATTCAGAATCACAGCTCTGGTAACAGCCACTCCCGCCAATAGAAGAGGTGGATAAGCTGTCCCGAAGGGATTAGACAGTGTACTGTAGATGAGCGGAATTATTTCCTGTAGGTATTTTGTTGTGTGAACCGCGAGATCGAAGAGAATGTCGTGTATTTTGTTCAACAAAAGACTAGATAATCTCGGATGCGGGAACGAGGATAGTGTAGATTGCGTCCCACTGGAGGGAGTCATGGTGCTAATGTGGTGGAAGGAGGAGATGAGGTTCTCGCGAAGGACTTTCGTTAGCTCGGCGGTGTAGGTTTGTTTATCCTTTGGTAAGTAGCTAGTTTTGAGAAGTAAGAAGAGAGTTGGATAAGCTGTGCCTAGGAGACGGATGGAATCGGGCTCGGGGGTTATGGTGGGTAGGGAGAGGAGGCAGGGTTTGATGGCGTCGATGAAGACAGAGGAGAGGTTGGTGCGTTTAAGTATATCTGATTTGGCTTGCTGAATGGGGTGTAAAAGGTGGGTGAGAAGTGTGCAGCCGTCGGCTTTGTGGGGGTTGGTCTCATCGTCAATTAAGGCGAGAATTGGTGGGACGAGGAGAGGGAAGTGGGATTCTAGACGGCTGATGTCGTTTGCCTGGAACCTGTTAAATGAGGAATAGGGTACTTTGAGAGATAATTTACCTGATATTGTGTTACGATCCAGGAAAAGACGGTCGTCGCGTAGACGTCTGACGATCGCCATGGTTTCGACTCGGGGTCAAGAATGCTGGTATCAAATCTAGGAAGTGGGATGGGGTGCATGTCCTTGCGACCTGCTGCTGTGATAGCAGGATTTCTGGTTCTTGTGAAAAGAGGTCGGATTTTGTCCTTGAGGATGGTTTCAAGGACAACCCAGAACGATGCATCTGGTGTCGAGGGTGATGTTGTGCGAAACCTCTCAAGAATTGCAGTTGACGCTGTGCGTGACTCGTTTGTCGTCCATGGGTCGGCTTCGGAGGTGAAGCTTGCCAGTGTGAGAACGATGTTTGGCACATTTGCTGCTTTATGCATCGGAAACAGAGAGCCCAAGGCTGCAATCACGGATATTGATAGTGATGATCTCAGCTTATCTTCATGCATAAGAGCTTTCCTCTGTTCTACAAGCGGGTCAACATATTTGAATTCGTGAGGGGAATGAGGTGTCAGCTCACCACTGGGCTCTTCAATCGATTCCGCATACACTGCAGATGGAAGGGCATGCCGACTCGCCCAGGCATAGATGTGGTTTGCTGCCGCGGTATCGGACTCGGATAATTCCTCAGAATTTCGAAGTCTCAGGAACTCCCGAGCAAGAAACAGGTTTTCAGATGCCTGGAGTGATCAGTTAGTTTCCTTCTCTCGGTGTATTAGAAAAGCAGCGTATCTTACAGCTGCATTGTCTGTGTCCTCGTGGGCTGAGACGGTGTCCCATAAACGCTCCAATTCTCCAGGGACGACGAGCTTGTCCAGCATCGAGTCTGGGATGCGCGCATCACCGCGGCGTAGGCACTCACGCGCCGCCGTTCGTAGGTCTTCCACTGACATGCCCAATTACCCCACTATCTACTTAAGAATGATGTTCGCGGGGCGGAGAACAAAATGTCCATAGAAAGTTAGATTGGGGCAGTTTAGTCGGAGATCCATCGCCGTCGGCAAATTTACCGAGCGGTAAGAGACGGGAACCGAACAATGGCCCTACAGTGTCCCAATCAGGCATCTAGAGATTGTTGGACCAGTTACAGTAGGTAAAAAGGAAATCATCATCCAAGAAGCAGCCATGTTAATTTCTATTACTATGTAGCGATGCCTAGCTCTTCTTTTCTACGGGATAGCTCTTCCAGCACCCTTTCCTTGTCGGTAACCTCCGGGTGCAACAGCTGCCATTTGATCGACATATCCAAAGCTTTCGACATCCAGGGACCTGTCTTGCAACCAAGAGCCTTCACAATCTCTCCCCCGTTGGCGAGGGGCTTCAGCTCAAATGCATCCTGTAGATCTTGCTCTTTGATGTAGGAGAGGAACCGGTCGTACGATTGCAGCACTGCCATCATATAAGCATTAGTTTATTATAAGGACAACGGGCATGGGAAAGTCCTTACCGCTAGTAAACTCGCCGCCACGCATAATTTCTTGGAGAATGGAAAGGAGTATGCAGAGCCTCCAATCCTTCTTCCACGAGCGAATGTGCAGTCCGACCTGCTGCCGCGCCTCTGCTGCAGTTCCATCCATGCGTCCCTCGAGGACAGAGTCCTTGACATCGGTGATGGCCTGCCAGTTGTGTGCCGCATCACCGATGACGGCGATTGTTTTGTTATCAGCTCGCAGGCTGTCTCGGGCTACTTCTGCGGTCCGTGCCGGGAGAGGTTTCGCCTTGGGTCCCCTCGCAACGCGTGACGGGATACTTGACCACGGAGCAAATGCTGCAATCATCCATGCGTAGTATGATTCGAGTTTGTCGCGTATGAGGAATTGGCGAACATTCACAGTAGCTGCGTTGGTTTCGTCTTTCAGGATTTTCTCCAGCGCATTGTATGCGAGTGCCCATGATGAGGTATCTGCTTGCGCATCATCCTGATGATTGGCAAAGATAGTCGGGTACAGCCCAAGACTATCAATGAATTGCAGTGCACCGCGGGGATCAGGACCTAGAAGCTGTAAGCAACAATCAATCCTCACTTGGACGCTACACACCTTGAAGCATCTTCTCTATCTCCTTACCCACCCGTTCTCTGCTGATCTTCAGCTTGAGAGCCTCCCCAATAAGTTCATTTCGCATTGCCTCCTGGGTCTCCCTTTCAATATTGTAACCCAATCGGCTGGCAAACCGAATCAAGCGTAGCACACGCAGTGGATCGTCCTGAAAGGTTTGATATGGTTCCATCGGGGTACGGATAATCTCCTTCTTCATATCCTCCAGCCCTCGTCCAGTGAAATCCTCGACTATAGATTCGTTTAAGTTATAGAAAAGCGCATTGATCGTCGCATCGCGACGCATCGCGTCTTCCTGGGCTGTTCCAAATTCCATCTGTGGATTTCTGCTATCTTCCGAGTAAGTCTCCTTCCGTAGATTCACCAAATCAATATCCAAGCCGAATATTCTTGTTGTGACTGTCTCCAGGTGTTTGGACTTCTCTGGGTTCGCCTCGATTTTATGTAGGCTAGCAATCGCATGCTTCAATTCTCCATTGGGCTGCTCTTGTCTGTACTTCTCCAAGTTTTCTGGTCTATCCATATACTCCTTGAGGAGCAAACCAAACTGATACCCCGTCATATTGTTAATACCGACGTCAACATCATTACTGCCCACCCCTAACAGCTTGTCCCGCACCCATCCTCCGGTAAATCGCAGAACCGTGGGCTCCGCATCGCGGCGTCCTTCTGCAACATTCTTTTCATGTATGTATTTCGCAACATCGAGTAAGAGCGATTTTAATGTCGATTCGAGAGGGGTAAGTCTAATGATGGGAAGGGTGTCCGCGGATTGAGCCATGGTGTCTCCTGCAGCGCCCTGATGCGGGGCAGCTTCAGGTATGCGTCGCCTTTTGTTCGTTCGCTGAGGGGAGAGGCTGGAGGATCTCCGACGGCTCATGGAAGAGCGGTGCGGTACAGATGTAGACCTGAGGGTATGAATACAAGCACGGGGTATCAACGGGGGAATTCTGCGAATGAAAAGAGAATCAGTCGCGGCGGAACCATCAGTTGGCGGAGAGAGAGGGACGGTCAGGCGGAGTAGGCGGCGCTTGAGAGGCAGGAAGAAGAGGGATGTTCTGAGCATGGGTAGCAGCCATCCCAGGATGAGTCAAATGGGCTGATGAGTGAATGTACTCTAATGACTCATGAAGGGTCAGCCTTGTGTCACAGTTAGAAGCAGAGCGCATCGCAGGGAGAGTGGAGGGGATCAACAGCAGCGCCTGAACAATTAATTGCCCGGCAGATCAAGTGGAGGATCATCACCGCCTTCCGGGCTGTCAACAACTCAATCCATTAACAATGAAGCTGGTCGCAGCTCTCCGTTCGATGGCAGCCCACTGGTAAGCCAGTCTGCTTTCCTGATATACTTTTGAATCTATATATTCCGAAAAGCAGTGGTCAAAAGAGTGCATCACCATCTTCCTGCCCCCCCGACATTAGCTGCCGCGAGGGACGCATTAGCCCAACGGAGCTGTTCGCCCGACTTGCGCTCTGGGATTCGCCCGCGGTGACTTGGCTTCAACGCATCCCTACAACATTGCCGGTCTCCTCCCGTCATTCCGTTTCTCCTGACAATCCGCTTCGAACCTCACCACATCACCCCTATCTCTATCACTCTCCTGTGGGATTACTCCCCACCCGTTCCATGGGCTCTAGGGTCATTTCTATTCTTGTTAACAGCGCATCCCACGCCACTCGGAGTCCATGACATCGCCCGGAGATGCGGCTCCGGTCAAGCCTCCGCCGTCATTCTCGCCCGGCGTACCACGTGTCGCATCCAAGTCGAGATATCCAAATCAGCGCCGCGACTCGTCACCGGCCCTCGATGCAGACCTGGTAGACTCGAGGATCCGATCCCCGACCCCGCCCCTGACGGCCACGACGGCAGAACTTCCGATTAGGTCCGCATCACCTCGTGCGCCTTCTTTCCGATCGTCGACTCCACAATTAGCTCGATCATCCCTGGGATCGCCGGTAGAAGGTCGTTTCGATGGCGCAGAGGAAATTCGATCTTTAATCATACGCTCGTTCTCCCCCGTGGTTGGGGTATACGCATCAGCGGACACCGATGAGTTGGTGCGACAGAAAGGTTTCGCTGGTGGGTTCTGGGAGTTGATTCGCCCTTTCGGCGAGAATGTACCAGGCAAGTTGGTCATTAGGGACAGCGTGGGGTCGAGTCGTGGCTGGGAAGACTACGGGGTTCGCTTCGTGAACTTGGCCAGCAACATCTCGCCTTCGAACTCAGGGCGAAGCCCCTCCCTGGCACAGGTGGAAGAAGTCTTGGAGAAGCAATTGGGCTCGACAGATGATCCGCTGGGCGGATCAATGCGGCCCATAAATTTCTTGAGTTTTCCTACAACATCCCCTTTATACAAAGTATATCTTCGACACCTTCTGTCGATATCTTCGGCAACGCCGCATGAAACCTTTCGACATCCAGTGGCCAGCGTCATTGCTATTAGCTCACGCAATACTGCCCCGCTTGAAACTCTCAGACAACTGTATGCAGATACGAGCAATGGGCCTCGGAGGTTGCCAGACTGGTGTCACCCTGAATACCTCCGGTACTACGTGCTCGTGCATGACGAGGATCGGGATGATATTGCCGAATCAACCAAGCTTTACGACCAAATGAAGCGTCATTTCGGGTTGCATTGTCATTTGTTGAGGCTGCGCAGCAATCAGTGCGTGGTCACCGATGATGATAGTGTCCGAGTTCCTGAATGCGAGTGGCTTTCGCCTCCAGAGCGACTTTCGGGTGGAGCTGGTACGACTAGACCCCTGCATTTACATTCCCGCAAGCACTAACGAACAACAGAGCCTTTGGTTGACCTCGATACTAATGGTCTTTACCTTTTCGACTCCGATATTATGGCAATCAAAGCCTTTATTCGAGAGCTAGTTGCGCAGTCCGTAATACCATTCATGGAAAACCGAGTCGCTGTCTGGAATGACCAGGTGGCCTCCCGTAGGCGTGGTATCAGTGGTCGATTCATGTCAATGTCACGGAGATGGGCCGGATTCGGAACTGGCTCTCGTTCCAGCCTTACATCGGGAGGGGCCAGCGGAAACTACGATGTCGCCCACGGTTATTATAGGCCCGACACGCCTGAAGCTCTGCTGCGCAAAATGGCTGATTTCGCGTTCATGCTCCGCGACTGGAAGTTGTCAGCATCTACGTACGAGCTTCTTCGGTCGGACTATGCGAACGACAAGGCTTGGAAATATCATGCGGGTGCCTACGAGATGTGTGCCGTCAGCATGCTTCTTAACCCTGCCGCAATGGGGACCAAGGTCAAGCTCGACGGAATCGATCAGATGTTCGACACGGCATGTTATTCGTATCTTACAAGGTGCTCGGACGCACCTAATGCACTTCGTTGCCTAACGTTAGCTATGGAATTGTTGAAGTCTCGCGGGGGTTCGGCAGTGGAAAGCGCCGCTCGATGGGCCATGCGGGCCATGGACCTTGGGCTAGTGGGATCTATCGGTCAGGGCCTATTCAGTGAGCGTGTGTCGGCATGCTATGCGGCGAGGTCACCGGTGAGCGGAATGAAATGGGGCTCTCGACGTAGGAAAGCTGGAATGTGGAGTGTATTTGCCGCCGATACGTGGCTTCGTCTGGGAAAGCCATCACTAGCATCGGCAGCTCTCGAGGAGGCGGAGCGGCTATATGCAGATGTACTGGATAGCGATGGAGGATTTCCGATGCCCGAGATGCAGACGTTCGTTGACAACCTGCGACACGCTGTCAAGGTCGAGTACCTTGAAGCCCGGGGGCTAGATACGAGGGATGAGGCAGCCACTGCCGAAGCACTGGGCACGGAAGAAATCAGCGAGAAGCTGGACCGACGCATGAATCGCAAGTCTTTGATCTCGAATCCGTTGGACTCGGGCGGTCTTGGTCCGGCGCAAGGCACGAGAGATGATGACAATGCAGCCAATGACGACTTCGAACGAGCTTAGGGACGCAATTATGGTGCGACGGGCGCATAGGTTCATACAATATAATAGACATGTGTCAATTAATGTTTCTCTACGTGTTTACGCTTAAGTTGGATTCATCACTTAACTGTAGTCCTAACATATCCGTAGTACGGTGATGGTAGACTCTTACCGCCTCACAGACCGCTCAAAGCGGCAGAACCTAAGGAACCTCGCTGTGAAAATCTCGGATTTAAGCGGCTTTTGGAACATACAGTTCCTAAAAGCTACAGCCGGAAAACTGTACGTTTAGGCGGTGGCAGAAAATGATCGCTGAGCCCGGAGAAGACCAACTCACGTGATACACTTCTTATCGATAAGGTGGCCTCCCCGACAACCAGCGCTAAGGACGAAGTGGCCCATTTATTGACATCAGATAGTCATCCCGATACTACCTCAGTAGCACCACGCACGCACGGGGGCTATCCAGCCTACACCGACGAGGTGTACACTTCCTGTATTGCGAATACTGACTATAGATCACATTATAGAAATATCTACATCCCTTTTCTTACTGTCTCACTCTACGTACTCATCTACCACTCACCACAACAACCACAATGACGACCCTCCTTCAATATATCCTCTCGCAGGACTCCTTCAGAAAGTCCGTCCAGCCTCAGTTCTGTCCCCACTCTTGAATTGTTCTTACTAACATACCTTCACACAATAGAAACCGCCTCCCCTCCCTCTACTCCGACTTCCCCATCCACCGCAAGACCAACCCCGAGGGATACACCACCAACATCGCAGCCTGGGAACATGCCCTAACCTCCGCCGCAAAGCACGGCTACATCGCTCCACATGGGTCTGCCTCGAAGGGCAAAGCGAACCACTTGATTCTCAGAGCTGATGAATCCTTGCTACGTGATCTGGAGATCCCGGAGTGTGGACGGCCTGTTGCGCTGGGAGCAGTTTTCGTACGTCACAATGATAGGGATACATGAGAAAATGCGGCGTTCACATTGACTAATTGTGGCTCTGATGTGATACAGGATGAAGCGACAAGGAATCGAACCATGGTGCCGCTGCACCTTTATCGAACTAACCCGGCGAGCTTGCGTAAGCCGCAGTGGGGGATTGATACGTCTGTGTTGAGCCCATGGGCTGTGATGAGCTGGGGGATGAAGCAGCTGAAGGGAGTTGTGATTGGATCTGAGGAGGCGACGCCGAGATTACAGCCTCAGGAATTGGTTTTGGTAGAGAATCTGAAGGTAGGTAGATTGGTTTGGGTTTCCATTGATGGTTGGTGTGGGTAAGGCTAATGAGGTATGTATATAGGAGGCTGCAGACCGCGTAGTTAAGCACGCTACGGGGAATAGTCCGTCGAAGACTGACTTGGTCTACTCGAAGGAGAGCTTCGTGAGTGAATTCGCTGGTGTTCTGGATGAAAGGAGTCTCCTGTCGGACGCGGATATGGATGTGCTTTTACTGTATATGTCGCGTGATAGCGGTGCTATTGCGTATGATGGGAAGGCATGTATTATCTCATTCATATTTTGGGCTTTTTATCTATCCCATGCAAGGCGCTAACTATGCTGCAGACTATCAAATTCAGAACCAGTGACGCTCCAAAAGATATCACAGAGCAAGATACCGCCGTCGCCTCTATCAAAACGCTCATGGCGACTATGACCAAGCAGGTGGAGAATTTGGAGAACAAAATCACTGAACTGAATTCAACTGCCAAAATGGCGCTGCAAAACAAGAACCGCGTTTCGGCGCTCTCGGCTGTGCGCTCTAAGAAGCTTGCGGAGCATAATCTGAAACAGAGACTGGATACTCTGATGCAGCTTGAGGAGGTATATTCCAAAATCGGGCAGGCTACGGATCAAGTGCAATTCGTGAAGGTCATGGAGGCAAGCACAGGAGCCCTTCGAGGCTTGCATACTCAGATCGGCGGTGCGGAGAGGGTCGAAGATGTGGTGCAAGAGCTGCGTGATGAGATGTCCAAGGTGGACGAGGTCGGAAACATCATGAACGAGGCTGGTCCACAGATTGATGAGACTGAGATCGACGACGAATTGCAGGAATTGGAGAACAAGGAGCGGGAGGAAATGGATGAGAAGGAGGCAGAAGAGACTCGCAAGAAGCTTGCCGAACTTGACAGTCTCCAGCAGGGCGCTCAGGAAGCCGCTCGCAGAGCAGCAGCAGAGCGAGCCGTGGAATCGGAATTGGAGGACCGCCTGTCTCGGATGTCGGTCGAGGAGGGTCCCAATACCACTGCTTAGCGCAAGACCATGAACAATCCTCCATGGCCTGGGAACCTGCGCAATCCGCATATTCTAGGCACATACACCAAGTGCAATTAATTTTGCGCATTGGTCATCTGGCTATCAACTGAGCCCTGCAGTGTCTGCGCTTGCACCTCAGGGACAATAACGGTTTTGTCATCTACAGTCAACTTCTCCGGAGGATGGGCATCTTCCGTCGCATGCATGGCTTCGGTATGCTCAACAACAGGCACGCTCGAAGGCTGATACGTTGTCTGACTGGCAAGCTGGTCGGTTGCCTGATTTGTGCCTACAGATTCTTGTGGTATCGTGGTGCGCATCTGCGCTTCGCTCTTCTTTCGCGCATTGGCAATGAGCCGCTTGAAGTCATCGTCATGACTCGTTGACCACGCCGCCGCATCAAAGTCTTTGCGCATGACAGTATCTGTGACGTCCCCTGATAGTTGCGCTTGGCCGCCTTGCGTGCGTTCCCAAATATCCAGTTCTCGCAGCAATTCCCTTTTGGACTTCGGCGTTTTGGAGTCGCAGTTGGCATTCCATAAGTTCATCCACTCTGTGTGACGTCGTTGCAGAAGGGGCCTCGGGCCCGTGTTCGGTATACCCAAATCTTTTAACTTCTTTCGGAGCACATTATCTTTCAATAGAGAATAGTTTATAATGGGCAGTCGTTCCGGTGTTTTATTCTGGGCGTCTTTTGCTCTCTGCGACGGTTGTGGCATGGGTTGTAACGATCTATAATCCCGAGTTAGATGCACACATGTAGACACGCTCCAAAAGACATATCTTACCCAAAATTCATTTGTTTGGGCGGCGCGGGCTCTCCAGTGCATGTATCCAAGTGTCGAAATACCGCTTCATTCTTCATCCTCCGGTTGCAAATTGGGCACGCGACCAGTCCGTCGTCTTCAGTGGCGATTAGCATGCGGCGCAACTTTGCCGGTGATCATACACACCTGGAACATATTCATCATCATTACTATCCTCAATCACCTCAATCGCAACAGGATCTTCCTGAGAGCCAATTCCCCGAGTTTGCGATCGAGTCCTCACGCCCTCCGCAGCAGGCCCATCTACAGCCTCGACCTTTCGCTTCTTCGGTGCTGGTTCCTCCGACTCTCCCTCCTCAGTATCACTCCCCCGCGCAGCAGCCTTCCTCGCCAGATCTAAAACACTGGGTCTAGCATTCTGGAACGCCTCAACCAGTTCCTGAACAGCCCAGTTGCGCCGCAACTTCAATTCCTGATCCGAGCTGCGGCACGCGGGGCATTTGCCTTCTGTGCTTAAACACCGCCGAATGCAAAGTGAGCAGAATGTATGACTGCATGAAGTAATCACCGGGTTATCGAAGAAGTCCTTGCAGACCTGGCAGCGGAGGGCGGATTCGAGAGGCGCGACGAGTGACAGTGGCGTTGTAAGCCAATCGGTCGAGTCGGGGAGGTCGAAGGTCTGGTCCATAGGGTGGGTGTGTGAAAGCTGCGGCGACTATCGAGGTATCATCGGATATACTGACAGGTCTAGCAAGCAAAGGCGGGGTGAAAGGAGTTTCTAAGGCTGTAATGGACTTTTAAGTCGCAGTTGGCGATCACCATAAGTGGTTATTGTGATGGATCGGAGAATGGCTGCGGTGCCAAGACCCGCTGACTGATACGCGTAAAGTGCTTCCAGAACGCGTCGTCCATATTCTACTCCGCATCGCATGTTACTTTGAACAACGCCGTTTTTCGCACACGATCAAGAGACTGTTGTCATCATGGCCGTTGCTGATTACAAGAGGTACCTTGCTGAGAATGTCCTCAATGAGCGACGCACGGTGAGTGACGTCTATTGTGCTGCAAGCTAGATATCCACTCACAGCTTCGGCGCATACTACAGGTCACCTACCGGTCCTTAGGTCGAGCCCTTCGGGTTCATAGTACCCTGGCCAAGCAGTATGTCTATATGCGAACTACATGTGTTTTTACACAGGAAACACTCTTATTGATATTTGAAAGGATGCTCTTCGATTTCCACCGTAACGAAAACAGCAAGAAGCCAAACAGCGTCAATGCGACTTATATTATTACGGGAGTTCAGAAAGCGCCCGAGACTCCTTCCACAACAAATGGCGCTCAGGACAGCTTTGATGGAATTCCCCAGAGCAGTCCCTACATTAGCAGTTCGATGCCGAATCAGGACGTCGCTACGGATGAGATCGCCATGTCCTCGGTTGTGCTTGTGCGAGAGGAAGACTTGGAGGGTACATGAAATTGCTTCCACGATGTTGCACAAAGGATGGAGCCTGCTAACACAGCCTGTAGATGCCAAGACAACCTTCCAATCAGTCTCATCGATATATGTCTACAGCCTTCAGCCAGCGGTACTCCAGGATCTCAATGTCTTGACAGATGTCGCGAGTGAAATGATTGCCAAGCATGCTCAGGAGGATCCTCTAGAATACGGCAAATCTTGGGGCATGATCCAGGGCAACAATGTCCGGGTAAGACGTGCCCTTGTGCTTACATACACCTCTGATTCTAATGCAATTTGTGCTGCAGAGAAGAACCGGGGGCCGCCCTCCCGTTCCAGCCCCCGCTCAGGCTCCAGCTCCTCCCAAGACGACCGTCCCAGCTAAGCGTCCTATCAAGAATGAAGAGACGCCACATCCAAAGAAAGAAACTGAAGCCGAGGCTGCGAAGCCAGAGCCGACGACTAAACGCGAGGAAACACCGGCGTCTACTAAACCGACTGAGAAGACAGCTCCTCCGAAGCAAAAGGGCAGTATATTTAGCTCCTTTGCAAAGGCCAAGCCGAAGCAGAAGATGGAGGATTCAGCAACGCCGGCCACTTCTGCTGCCGAATCGGTCAGTTTGACTTTACCCTAATTGACTTGGTATTGAGTGACTGACGATCAACCAGGCCGAACCCAGTGGTGCTGAAGATGGTGAGTGTTTACCGTCTATCTTGGCCTTTAACACGACACTAATGAGTAGCAGTGGTTCTAGACGATGCATCAGACGGGGATGAGGAACCTGAGGAGCTGTTCCGAGACTCAGGGAAGTCCGCGTCCGCCGGTACACGTGAGTCGCGGAAAGAGCGTGAAGAAAGACTCAGAAAGATGATGGAAGATGATGGTGTGTTACCTCCCTGTTATCGGTAACTTTGCTGACTGGTACCAGACGAAGACGAAGACGAAGAAATGCCTGACGCTGCACCCTCACCAGAAGAGTCTAAGCCTATCGACGAGCCGCCGCCGCCGAAACAAGCTGAGCTCAAGGAAGAAGTCACGGTTAAGGGCGGTCGTCGCAGGGGCAGGCGCCAAGTCATGAAGAAGAAGACAGTCAAGGACGATGAGGGCTATCTGGGTAAGATCATCCGGTGCTACCTGAATATCAACAGCAGCTGACTGGTTTGTGCTTAGTGACCGTTGAGGAGCCAAGCTGGGAGTCATTCTCAGAAGACGAGCCAGCACCGCCTCCTAAGAAGAAGCCCGCTGTGAGCGCGCCCAAGGGCAAACCAGCAGCGAAACCGGGACAAGGCAGCATTATGTCCTTCTTCTCAAAGAAGTGAACAACTGTCGTGGTTCTTGAATAGTCGCTCGTTTTTGAAACCGCGTCATGACCGATTGTCTCTGCCTCTGATTCTCAGACACCATATCCTGGGCTTGGCCACTATATACGCTGGCAGACTAGTGCACCTCAGCACTCCCAAGAAGACATTGGCATATGCAGTGCAATGAACTGACAAAACCTCAGGCACTTTCAGCGTCAAACCGGACCAATTTCTCACGCCTGGTCACATCATCATAACCATCGGCACCAAATAACGAACTGCTTGTCACGAGTCGTCAATATCTGGTCTGCTGTTTCCCCTTCCTACAATCCTTATACGGTTCCTGCATACAGCGCTGCATGTATAGTACATAGCTTCATCATTTCTGTTCGACATGCAGAGCATTTTCAATTTTCAATCCACGTAATAGGCTCAGTTCAGGTACAACGGCGTCATTCAAAATCAGATAGAGCTTTGACTACAGATATCTGCCAAGCATTTTCAGCGTTCTTAAAATGTACCACCTTCGAGTATTGATGGTCATGAGTATGACTGGCTCTGATAGCCGTGGATAACAGCCATGGGTGAATCCATCATTTTCAGGCTCTACTATGCCAGCGAGACAAGTCCCAGTTCTGGGCTAAAGTCAATGCTTCGAAGCCTAGTATGATAACGTTCATGTTTTCTCCAGGCGAATACCGCCCTGGGATATGATCGACAGGCTAATGCCGACATCTAATATGAAAGTGTTTCAGGCGACTAGGACCAAGAAGACCTGAACCATCTGCTGATTAGGACACCTGAGAGTCGGCTAAATAGTCGAGCGAAGAACTAGACTTGACGAGGCTCGTAGCTGTATAATTCAGATAGCAGTGAATGCGAGTGATGGATGCAATGAGCCGATACACTGCAATAACGTATCAGCGCTGTGAAGGGTTCAGTGACATTCTGCAGGGAGAGGGTGACTAGTATGATGGGTGGAAATACTGCAGGGAATCCGGGGGATCGTCGTTGAAAATCGGCTGTTTGCGATCTTCCCCGCATTCCCCTGCCTTCCCCTGTCATCCCCCAACCAGCCGACTTCAAAACATGCCGTTGTTCCCCCTAATCCCCTTCAAATGGTCAATGGCACTCTCGATCATCCTTCTGACCTCATAATATTAATTCACCATAAGCGAGAGTCGCTATCCAGCCGTCAAGATGCGCTCGTTGTCGCTGGCCATCACCCTCGCGGCCGGCTTGGGTGCAAGGGGAGCTGCAGGTCGCGATGAGCCTTCCATTCTGCGTCGGGCTTGTCCAGACTACACCTCTTATGCTTCTACTGGACAGTAAGGGATCACGCTTTTGATATAAGCTCTGTATCAGCCTGCTCATATTTTCCTTCACTTCCAGTGCCCCATACAGCGGTGGTCCTCTAAATCTGCCCTACCAAAGACCCGCAGCAGAATGTCGGACCTTTGTCTCAAATGCAGTAGAACAGGTCATCGATGATGTGACCTCGCGCATGGTAGACAAGGACATGGCTCAGCTGTTTCGCAATGCCTTCCCCAACACACTGGACACAACCATCCGCTGGCACGTCAATAGCACATCTACTACTTCCTCCTCTAGGAAGATGAAGCGAGATAGTTCACAATGGCAAGGAGCCCAGACCTTTGTCGTGACCGGAGACATCAACGCAGAGTGGCTACGCGACTCGACAAACCAATTGACTGGCTATCAGACACTTGCAAAGAAGGACCCAGCTCTTTACAACCTTATTCTCGGGGCCATTCACACGCAGGCCGAGTTCGTCATCCAATCGCCCTACTGTAACGCATTTCAGCCCCCTCCGCCTAGTGGTATCCAAGCAACAAACAACGGCCAGCAAGACACCGTGCACCCAGCATATGAGCCCTCCGTTGTCTACGAATGCAAGTACGAGCTCGACTCCTTAGCCAACTTCCTCGCCCTGGGCAACGAATTCTACGAAAACACCGGCTCCACCGAATTCCTTACCAGTCGGTGGTACCTCGCCCTGGACACAGTCCTGAACACCACCGACGCCCAGTCCCAGCCAACATTCGATAGCAACCACCTGTATGTCCAAAATCAGTACACCTTCCAGCGCCAGACAACCCTCGGCACGGAAACTCTCAACCTCGCCGGGATCGGGAACCCGCTCAATGGAGGCACCGGACTCATCCGCAGCGCATTCCGTCCTAGCGATGACGCCACTATCCTGGGCTTCTTTATCCCCGCAAACGCCATGATGTCCGTGCAACTGAAGAAGACCGCGGACCTGATCCGCGCTGCTGGCGGCGACTCAGCCCTCGCATCCAATCTTCAAACCCGCGGAGAGAACCTCGAGCAAGCAGTCCGCCAACACGGCATCTTCAACCACGAGAAGTACGGCGAGGTCTACGCCTTTGAAGTAGACGGGTACGGCTCGCGCATCTTCATGGACGACGCGAACATTCCATCCCTCCTAGCCCTGCCCTACCTAGGCTTCGTCGATAAGTCCGATCAAGTCTACCAAAACACCCGCAAGATGATCCTCGACCCTAATGGAAACCCATACTACCTCACTGGGTCGGACTTTCACGGCATCGGTGGACCTCACAGTAAGCAATGCCCCCGAACCCCCAGAACTCTGAGAACCAAGATTAGTAACTAACACGGACTCATCACCAGTTGGTCTCGAAAACGCCTGGCCAATGTCCCTCCTCGTGCAGGCACTGACAACCGACAACGTAACGGAGATCACCGAGTCTTTGAATCTAGTCCGCAACTCCAGTCTCCTGGGCTTAGTCCACGAGTCCATCGATGTCAACAACATCAAATCATACACGAGACCGTGGTTCGCGTGGGCGAACTCGGTCTTCTCTCAGACTATATTAAAGGTCGCGGCTGAACAACCTGAAGTTCTATTCGGAGATGGAGCAGAGCCATATGTCATTTCTTAGATAATGGTCACTACCTTGCCTTGATCATCGGCATAGCGTGTGTATAGTGCAGTGTGCTATAATATACCCGGCCTGTTTATTCTTGGGCTCTTCGAAATACCAACAGCAATATCAATATTGAAGTGAACATGAATGACTTGACTTTAACTTTCCTTTCACACAATGCATAGTACTAAGTATATATGATACGCTCCATACAAATCATGCAAGCCATTCACACAATATAATCCTGTAAAATATCTACACCAACACCCTCCTCAACCCCTCCGTCCCACCAAGTACCCTCCTCCCCGTAACCGGACACCTCCCCTTCCCACTCTCCCACTTCCCCCGTCTACTCCTCGACTTCTTCATCTCCTCCTCATCATCATCTTGTTTCCCTTCCTCACCTCCCTCCAAATCATCATCAGCCCACGCAGCGCCCGCGCCCTCCCCATTCATGAAATCCAACTGCCGCTGATGCTCCCCATTCAGCCAGTGGAAGATACAAACGTAGCAAAAAACATACCCCGTCTGACACGCTGTAGGGTTCGTAAGCGCATTCAAACAGATCGGGCATGCGGACGCGACATCCGAATCCGGTGGGGGAAGTGGCACTGTGAAAATGGGTAGGTACGAGGTAGCTGATATGGGCGGTTGGATGCGTGTGCGCGCGGGAGGGGCTGATTTTAATGCTGATTTGAGGGTTGGGGATGATGGCTGTTGCTGTTGTTGCTTCTCTGTAGCTGCGGCCGCGGCGGCTGCCTTTCGCTTCTCCGAGGGAGACGTCATTCCCGCTGCGACAGGGGCAGGAAGGTCCAGGACCTCGGTTGCTTTGCGGGCGAGCTGGCGCGAGAAGTCACTTGCGTGCCACCATTCGAGGAACTTGAGGGCGAAGATGGAGGCTGGGAGGAAGTAGCGGAGAGAGGTGAGAAGTTGGGGGTAGAAGTTTTGCGGGCTGAGGAGGCCCAGGAGGCCGGAGCCGGGGCGTGTGCGGGCGCCTGCGCCGCCGGGGCCTGGGGGAGGGGGCTTGGGGTCGAGGATGGAGGCGATGGCGCGGTGGTCGGCGGAGCTGAGACGGCGAATGCGGGTGCCGATGAGCCAGAGGAAGGGGGAGGAGTATTTTGTGTTGTCGAAGAGGTAGGCGAGGTTGAAGGCGAGGATGGAGAAGTAGTATGCGGCGTTGACGGAGGGGTAGATGTTGCGGAGGAACCACTTATAGTAGTGGAGGAGACGTTGGCGAATTGTTGGATTATGAGGGAGGTCGTCGCCTGGGTTGTATCGAGGGCCACCGCTCATAATTAGGGATGCTTGTGGTGCGGCGTGGATGTCGTAGCCTTCGTCGAGCTTGCGCTTTAGGTAGGGAATTCCGACTAGGACGAGGAGGTTCTTCCAGACGTCTGAGGTGCGGAGCTTGAGGGCTTCGCGGACGGGGCCTGGAGCGCCCAGCTGGGCACGAGGGATCTCGCCATTCTTCGTGAGGAGGACTCGTTCGCGTTTGAGGGAGTAGAAGTTCTCTGTGAAGGAGCCGCCGAAGGTGCGCAGGTAGTAGCGTTCGACGACGAGGGAGAGCAGCGCGTAGATCTCGTCGTAGGAGTTGAGAATTCGGAGGAGATATCGTGGATGGCGATGGGTCGCGACGGCAAGGATGTATCGGATTGAGGGAGGCAAAAGGTCGGAGAGCTGTTGTTCGGCGAGCAGCTCTGCGATGAGATGCGGGTTAGTCGAGTGTTCGTTGACATAGCTTGGGGTGTGCGCCAAAGGCACGTACCGAACAGCGATGGCTTCAGCTCATCGAATTCTTGCTGCAGACTAGGCAGGTATTCCATGATGGGGACAGGACGCCAGTCATTGGCCCCAAATGGAAGAAGCAGTTGGGATGGGCGGACTGGGTGGAGGATGGAGAGAATGCGGAGGTGCAGCAGCAGCAGCGGTGGATGCCAATCCGATGGCGGCGAGATGAGCCGAGGCTCATCGGTATCCGAGCCAAGCCGGATCCACCGTCACATTCATATTCACCTACTTTTACTTTACCGCACATCAAAAGGGAATTGGGATTGTGTTATTTACTAGTACAGTGCCTACTATTTACAATGATTCAACCCTGGATCATCTCAGCATCTTCATCTGGCATGCGTTCCAGAATCGGACCAAATTGCTCGTCGAACCCTCCGCAGCCTTCTGCACAATATCGGGATCGGCAAGCATAAGGCAACGTTTGATATCTACCAGGAGCTCCCCCTCAAGGGGTATCGGGTTATCCTCTCTCCTCATCATCGGGATCCATGTTGATACGCAGTCTCGGGCACGGAGTTCATCTCCCAGATCGGCATGCAACCGGAACAACATCTTGTAGTCAGCAGCGGTGCGCTGACTTCCATTAAGAGGACCCTTGCGCCACAACTTCCAAAAGTCATCGTAGTCGCCGTGCTGAAAGAGCGATAACATAAGGCTGCGGGCTTGCTCGGGTTCAAAGGGTAGGTCAAGGGTATCAATTAGGCGAGTCACCCGATAAAGGGAACTTTTGTTTCCAGTCTGTGCATCATTTGCTCCGTCTGGTACGGTGGTGGAGGGGGAAATGGCAACTGCTCGATAAATCATGTCGAACACTCTCATATTGACAACATTGGTGCCCCGCAGAGAAAGATGTTCCAACACAAGAAGGGCTAATTCCTGGTCCGCTTCCGGGACTTGCCCTGCAACGTCCTCAGAGCTAGTCCCTGCTCGTCGGGGAGATAACAAGGCTGAAACAACCGAAAATGCTAGATCATCAGATACTAAGTAACCAGCGCATGTACATTCCGTGAACGCTGTATATAGACCCCGCTTTGTATACCCCGGGTGCTGTCTGGAAATCGCGTTGCAGAATAGGACAAGGCGGGCTATCGCTTTCTCTTCCGCTGAACTGACTGATAGCACATCATGGAATAGGCGCAGAAATAATGTCGAATCATGGTCTTCCGGTCCTTCTCCTAGCTCGATCCTGGCCTGAACGTCGGATAAATTTGAGAGGTGGTCAAAGAGTGCATCCATTGAGCGGAGTTTCTTTTCATTGTCGCTATGGTCATGGTCTCGAAGTAAAGACGATGACTGGGAATCCAGTGCTTCTTCCGTATCTTCCGCATGGATTGCTGCACGGTCGAACTTTTGGCTGATGGGACGATGATCGGTGTGAAGTAGCCTCTTCTGTCCGAACAAAGGGCTAGTGGGAAACCTGGAGGCATGTCCGAACTCACGGTCAGATGGTGATACGTTTATCGAATTGGAAGCACGAACCTCTTCGGAAGGTGCGCCTGGATTAACCTGGGAAAGTCTTTGTTTCTCTCGTTCGGATCGGTCCAGCGCCTTCTGCCAAAGGCTTTCAAGATCGACTTCGGCTCTCTTTTCCTCTGTGAAGATCTGCACGACAACCCTCGTGCCTGTGGCAGTGTGGCCAAACCCTTCAAAACTGTAGTTCTCATCCTTCTTGACGGGGGTTTCCTCCACTACACCGGCATTGACGCAGATCCAGCCCGTCGTGATTCCATCATCCTTTTCGTCAAACATAGTACCAGACCTACTGGCGAGTCTAGCACGCCGGGCTTTTCTCCGGAGCTTAATTTTCAACTCATTTCGACCAAGGAGTCCATCAGCGTAGGGAGACAGCTTGTAGGTACTTCTCAGCCAGCGGCAGAGACGGTCTGCGGACACATTCAAGTGCTTGACACTACGAGCAGTTCCAATTATCATAATCACGTTGGCACCAAGAGCCGGCGGAGTCTCCAGTCCGCGCAAATCAATCAGCTTCAACGCATCGAGACCAATGTCCTTGAACACGTAGTCAAGGAGTGCAGGAAGGATGGCTGGAGGGTTCGTTGGCAGTTCTGGGATCTGGTCTCGCGAGAATGTCTGCTCTGACTCGGGGAGAGGTGCTTCTTCTTGTAGATACCATGGAATATGAGGTGTGCTCTCCGGCGTGGAGTTTCCTGTCGGTTCATCTTTTGGTTCAAGTGCCGGCGGTACTGCGGAGGACGAGGATGAAGGCTGCTCAGACTGGAGGCAAGATACTGAAGCAAAAGATCGGTTTACTGGGTGGATTGCCGACCGGTATACCGCGGCACGGGAGACGGAAGGAGGCGCGCGAAGGGCTGTCCTGGATGACCAGGCAGCTCTCAACAATGCCCTGTTCATGATGGTCAATATTGCAGCAGTAATGGTACCAAACGAGAGCTCGACAGCTTTCTTCGCAGTGGCGACAAGCAGCGCAACTGGGGAAGCTGCTGAAAGACAAACAAGACAAACAATGACTAAGAACGGTGTCAGCAAGCAAACAGAGCAAACAAAAAGTTCTCGCGGCGGGGCAAATATTGATCCTCATGACAAATCTAAATTTCGCTTCATCCTTCAGCGAGCAGGAGTCGCCGGCTCTTCTAACATCCCTTTCATTACCTTTTTGTTTATTTGGTGTCAGGCCTCATCCCTGCTTCCAACATGTCGATGGACCTGGATGCGCCGGTGCCTTTCGAGGCCATCCCGCAAGATCAGATCGCTGCGACGTGAGTTACCCCGCAAATTAAAAGAAAAATTTCTCTATAAACATACACGAGGGGCAATATGGATCGAGGACTTCAGCTAACAATTTTGCTTAATAGTATCCTGTGTTGCAACTGTGGCGCGCCCATCGATGGAACAACATCCGCAGGCGCCCTTTGCCAGGACTGTGTGAAATTGACGGTTGATATCTCCCAGGGCATCCAGAGAGAGGCAGTTCTCCACTGCTGCAAGGACTGCGAGCGGTGGCTTCAACCTCCCACCAGCTGGGTTAGTGCTGCGCTCGAATCGAAGGAACTCCTCGCACACTGCTTGCGCAAGCTCCGCGGCTTGTCCAAGGTTCGCATTATCGATGCCAGCTTCATCTGGACCGAACCCCACTCGAAGCGTATTAAGGTCAAGATCACCATCCAGCAGGAGGCATTCCAGGGCACCATTGTGCAGCAGACTTTCGAGGTTGAATACGTTGTCGCCTCGCTACAATGCCCTGACTGCAAGAAGTCGTTCACTGTCAACACTTGGAACTCCAGCATTCAGTTGCGCCAGAAGGTTCCTCACAAGCGAACCTTTTTGTACCTTGAGCAAATCATCCTCAAGCACAACGCTCACCGTGATACAATCAACATCAAGGAGGCCAAGGACGGTTTGGATTTCTACTTTGCGCAGAGGAATCATGCGGAGAAGATGGTCGAGTTCCTCTCCTCCGTCGTCCCCACCAAGGTCAAGAAGTCGCAGGAGCTGATCTCCATGGATATCCACACCTCTACGAAGTCATACAAGTTCACCTTCTCGATCGAATTGATTCCTATCTGCAAGGATGATTTGGTTGCGCTGCCCATCAAACTCGCCAGATCGCTGGGCAACATCTCGCCCCTGGCCCTCTGCTACCGCGTCGGTACCTCTGTCAACCTTCTCGACCCTAACACGCTCCAGACCGCCGATGTCCCGACCAACACCTACTGGAGATCACCCTTCAGGAGTCTTGCCGATGTGACGGAGCTGACCGAGTTCATCATCATGGACATTGAGCTGGTTGGACGGTCGAACGGACGGTTCTATCTGGCCGAGGCAACCGTTGCCCGTGCCTCGGATCTTGGCTCGAACGATCAAACCTACTTCACCCGCACTCACCTGGGTGGAGTACTCCACGTCGGTGACTCCGTCCTCGGTTACCACCTGACTGGTACTAATTTCAACGACCCCAACTTCGAGGCGATCGAGGCTAGTGGCCAGTACAGCTCCGCGATTCCCGACGTTGTGCTCGTGAAGAAGTTCTACGCCCGCAAGAAGAAGAACAAGAACCGCAACTGGCGTCTCAAGCGCATGGCTCTTGAGTACGAGGAAGAGGCGGCCCAGCAAGCTGCTGGCAACCTCAATCGTAAGCAGGAAGCCGAGCGCAACCGCCTTGAAGAGGACTTTGAGATGTTCTTGCGCGATGTTGAAGAGGATCAGGAACTGCGTGGCACTCTTGATCTGTACAAGGCACGGAACCGTGCCCCCGTGGAGCACGGTGGTATGGATATGGATGAGGATAGCGAAGATGATGAGGTGCCCAAGATCAACATGGATGAGCTGCTTGATGACTTTGACGAGTTGAACATGGACGATGACCATTAAGTTCCACGGGACTTTTTTTAATCACGACTGCACATAGGGGTTTCTGGCGTTTTCATGGCTATTCTGATATCGTTATGGTTAACAATATCCGGTCTGATACACAAAAAGTTGGGTATATAGATGAAGTGAATGATTAGACATTGATTAGGAGTGAAGTCTGAGTTGTAATCCCTCATTCCGAAGTATACCTTCACATCCGACATGATCATTGTGAAAATCGTATCTGGCAGTAACTGCAGAGATTGAATAATCATGATTCGGCTGCCCTATTTAAATTCAGTTTCTGCAGGCCTCGTCTTCTTCCTTTCACACAACTCGATCATACCTAGATGCACACTCGAGTGATTCCCCCTAAGATATAAAGTAGGCTTTCGTCCCACGAGTCAGTTCATTACTACCACAATGCCCTAGTCGCTTCTGGTCACACGTTAAGGTTCAGAGATGGCATGATGCGGTATTCCTAGATGGAAGAAACACCGAAAGATCAGAAAATCTAGTTCTTCTCAATCCGCTGGCACATAGATCACATTCAGGGCACTACTTTTCTCAGAGTCCTGTGGCATGGATGAAGATAAAACCAAGCTGTACAATTTTTGGGCTTAAAAAGACCAAGCAATTTTATATGGTTCTATCTTTATGAATCTATACTATATAAGCATCCAGGATACTGGCAGAAAACGCCATCAAAGACGTACTAAAGTCTTCTCTTAATGCACCGCCAATGAATTGGAAACTACACCAGAAAGGCATGCCGTCTTTCTAGCCCATTGCCTAATGAATGCCAGTACTCCGCTAGAGCGGTGTGGGTGTCAAAGCAGCAACAAGTTATGTTCTTCATAGCGGCTCATCTCACCAGTTTCCTACTCAGCACTATACTAACAGATCAGAGGTGATGACAATTGTGTGCTAGGTAGTGCATACACTATCTTGGAGCTAACAAAGTGGAACACTGCCCTCCTGGACAACAATACCAGATGTGTCCAAATAATAACAAAATCGTCTTGCGGACCTCGTCCATAGTCGTCTTCGTGACACACTAGGGGCTACCGATTATTAGACAGTATACTTCCACCATTATGTCAAGCGGGCTTTATGATTCGGTCTTTTTTTTTTAATCAGAGCTACTTGAGAACGTACTCTACCTTCTCAGTTATAAGTTAAGTTCGTCACGGTCTAGCGGGTGGTATAACATGCATCGAGCCATGCCCATTATCTGCGCATTATAGGATGCCTCATGAGCAGCCAAGTTTCAGTCCTGTGCCGAAAGTTGTTCCAAAACATCTGCAAAAAGTCAAGGTTTCTTCTTATCGATGCAGATTCTGGTAGCGTGGTGGGTCAACCTAAAGGAAAGGTTCGCCCATTCAATGAACATTCATGACCAGAACGACATGGCCCATCCCAGACAATTGTCCAGTAGTAACCTTTACCACAACAAATCATGGCCAAAGTCGCTGACTATACTCACCTGTCTATAATGAATGGCAATTCAACGTTCTACGACAGGCCTGTCCATCCGATCTCATGGAAGTACGCTGGCGTTGGTGGCCATCGAGGCCGAGATTTTTTCGAGGCTACACCTGGGATTGTTCAAGAGCTTTCCTCATGTACAACGACGAATCGAGGTTATCTTCTATAATACGAGTTCGACAATATCACATTTATCCACATAGAAGCTATCAATGACATCTTGTTGGATTGGCCACATGGCTATAGTTTCATTGTTATCTCAATATAGCGCTTCACCTGCACAATTATACCTACTCCTTGCAGAAACCGTCCAGGGATCCTTCCTATGCACTGACTTGTGTTATCGAATATCGTCATTCTACCCCATCAACTCAACCATTGCACATAAACAGAAGCATGAGAAACACGATATGTGTGCTATTTATGACATACAATTTATCGTCTTCCTAATTGCACTCCTCTGCGAGAAGTTCGCTCAGGCTTCTCCTCCTCTATTTGAAAAGAAAACTCGTTCTTCTCATAATCCTGCCTGAAACTTAATGCGTATCAGACAATGGCTAACACAACAATCGCCCGAAAAGTCCGTTCTATTGTATCTCCATCACACGACTATAGGCATTGTGGAAATCAACATCTCTTCAAGATGGTGGTGGGAACCTCTAGAGTGGTCACACGTACTACTCCTGTATCAAGACTTAATGGGATACCTTATGTTGTTGCTAGTATACAGAAATTTTTACTGAATACCGCTTCGAGGCGTGCTCAGAACTTAGCGGTTATCAGTTCTTCGATGGAAGCCAGATGTCCTCGACTTCACCACTCAATCACAATAATGATGAACACGGTCAAAAGTCCTTCATCAAAAAATGATGGCTCCATAATTTACTGCAAGTTTTCCATCTCTGTCCAACATGCTAATTATATGGAAGTGCGGGATTTAGTCGATGGTGCAGCCCATGGTCAGGTGTCGCGTGATATACTCCCTGCATTATGCGCTGGACTCTACCGCACGCGCGTCTATGTCTCTTTTGGGTTTCAGAAATCTGGACATTCGAAATCATAGAATGAGAATATGCGAACAGATTGCTCATAATAGGCTGTCAATAACATGGGGAGCGGTGTCTGACTGCGCGAGAATTTTGGACATGTCTATGACACAATCTGCTAAGGCTTTACAGCGACTTTTTTATTACCCCAGCCCAGGTGATGTTGGGCATAGAAGAATCTGTACAGACTATACCAAGTCGATGAAGACTATGGGATGGCAGCTATTGCATATCAAGGGCCGAGCATGGGATGTTCGAACCAGGTTATAAAGGGAAGTATACCATTGCGTAGACAACATACCAGACTTTGATGGCCAACACAGTCTGTCGGTAGTATCACAATGGTATAGAAGATACTCTCCAGCAAGTAGTATAAATCGACCGACAAGATTCTGGAGAGATTCCCATATAATACAAGGGGTTGCTTTGGACTGCGTTCGTCACCTCAGTTAAAGACACCACTGACAGATCTTGAACAAACGTCCCGCTACCGCCGGTTGGTTTTCCTTGAGGACATAGGTCATGGCAAGAGTCTCTATTGTCGGGGTGTCGTATCGTTGGTCGCAACTTCGGTCGATATCAAGCTCGACGAAGACTCTCCTAAACTTTGCGGACACTACTGTTTTCGGGATGGTAAGCTAGGGTTATAGGCGGAGTATCTTTACACTCTGACAGGGTCTGAAGGAGCAATTTCGGTTCGAAGTACGAAGATAGTAGGGCCGCGTGTGAAGACCTCTTCCTTCTCTACGAACTGCCAGAAGCAGATCTCCGCATCCGTACCAAAGCCCTAGTACTAGCATACACCACCACAACCATAGACCAATGAACAACACAATAGGGATATCTATTAACCAAGTAAGAAAACCTAGACTACATAAATGAGAATAGTAGATCAAAAAATCTTCCCCAACACCCTCTTCGTATCGTCCCCAAGTCTCCCCGGATCCTCCGCACTCTTATCCCTCCCCAACTTAACCTCATTCTGCTTAAACACCATGCGCACCTCCTTCGCACTATCCTTCTTCTTCTTCCCCTTCTCCTCATTCTTTTTCTGAATCCCCTCAATAACCTTGCCCTTCTCATACCCCTCCAAAAACACCTTATCCTCCTTCCTGGCCCTCGAATCCTCCACCCTCTTCCTCGCCTCCCTCTCCGACCTCTCCCTCTGCACCTGCTCCATCAGATCCGCCCACCTGAACCCCTTCAAATACTTCATATTCCACACATCATCATGGTACCACCCGCCCTTCTTCCCCCCGATGATCGTAGCATTCAGTGTCTCCGCGCAGATCTTCGCCGTCTTCTTCGATGCAAACTCAACCCATCCGTCCGAGTACGTCTTCCGCTTGTTGGATCGGCGGCGGGGCGCGCTGGCGGGGCGCACTTCAGGCGATAGAAAGACCCGCGTGATGGGCCCAAATGATCGGGTTTCGAGAAGGTTCTTGAGCGCAAATGGTTTCAGGTATGGAGGCAGAGAGGAGAAATAAATCACCCCCGTTTTGTTTTTCTTGGGGGCCTTCTTGGCTTTATCGAGGGGTTTCTTGCTTGTTGATTTCTTGGCTTCGATTTCTGTTGTGGCGTCGAGGTAGTGGTCTTCGTCGTTGTCGTAGTCGTTCTCCTCTTCCTCATCCTCTTCATCGTCCGATCCAGCCTGTTTCTTGCTCTTGGATTTGCTCCTTCCCTTCATAACCACCCTCTCATCCTCGCTGTCCCCCAACCCAACCCCGTTGTCCGACTCATCCTCCTCTGAGTCGTCGTTCAATCCGTGTAGATCATTTGTCGACTGCGGTTGGGGTACTGGCTGCATGCGCCGGCGCTTCACGGCCCGGCCTTTGCTCTTTTCTTGCTCCGCCGCTTCGGAGTCGTAGCCGCGGTCGTTGGCGGACTCGTCGTCGCTTTCGGCGATGCCGAGGAAGTCGTTGCGCTTGCGGGTGGTCATTATGCTAGAGGATTCGTATCTTGTCTGATGTGTATGTCATAGGAGAAGAGAAAGAAGTCGGTCGAATTGGGAGTTGATGGAGAGAACTTCATCGAACGGGAACTTTTTTTGGGTGGTCTGTGCGCCGCGGTGGGTGGCCAATCGGAGGGGTGGATTTTCGGACTTCATTCATCTACTACTGACTTACTTCCATGTAAATTTGTAGGTAAATAGTATCTAGAATTTTCGGTCTACGGGCAACAGTATCTGTCATGAAGGTAGCATTGTTAGACCATTTCAAGTATGTATACTCGACAAGTGACTCCTGGCTGGATGGTTTAACGGCTCTGTATGATTTGCATACGATCGCGATAAGATGTTCAAATCGCTCCAGCTATCAATTGATCACAACTCTCAGCTCTCACTGAGATAGTGAGCAGCGCTAGCCATTCTAAAGTGTATATGTATATACAATATTCCGTCATCCGTTCCCATGAGAGCCAAGCCCAGACCAAGCTCTCGTGCATGCGATAATTTGGGTATGAACAAATGCAGGTGTAGGTATCGAATCCAACGACGCCAACTCGGTATATATCTAGACAAAAAATGAAGACAAATGATGAAAATTCACAGTGGTTTAGCTTGGTTCCTAAATGCCAAGTCTTCCCTTCAACCGATCATATACGAAAAACCCGGTGGCTGTCATCGGGATCACCTTGAGGTATCCGATCGTCAGCCCAACCCAGAACCCCCGGAAGCCCCGTTCGAGGAATATCGTACGGGCAGTCTCGACAATGCCGAGTCGGTGGCCATCTCCGACAACGCCACCGACTTGCATGCGTCGTCGCATCACTTCGAACGGATACGAAGAAGTCTGCGACACAACACCCGCGATCGCTCCGGAGAAAAGCTCCGCAGCAGCTGTCAGTTGCTGCCGGTGATGTTTCTTCGGGTGTCCAGTTTCTTCATGTTCAGGTATCGTGGTGTAGGGAGAAAGCATCGGCGATTTCAGCCAGTCGCCGACGGTATCGTGAGTCAGGAAGGATATTCCGGCGTAGGGAAGCATTCCCATGAGAGTCGGGCCGAATCCACGGTAGAAGTTGGCCAGTCCAGAACGCGGAACAACTTTGTTCACCGTCGATGAGACACTCTCTGCAGTGGCGGTCACTGGGGCTTCCGATATTGATGCCCCCGTCGACGACGGCATAGTGATCCGCTCGTTGTAAATCTGTCGAATGATATCGCGGAATGAAGAGCGAGACGTGCGTTTCGTCTCAAATGCTAAGCGTACTCGAATAAGCTCTAACGGATACGTAAAGAAAACAGACGTCATGCCGGCCATGCTTCCAGAGACAAGTCGGCGCAGAGGAGTTTCTTTATCGCGCGACGGAATTACCACCGCTCGAATTTGCTCGTAGGCGAGAAACTTGATAGCGGCATAGGGGAAAATGCGGAGTAATGTCGCAGAGTGGCCCTTGAAGAGACCCCTAGGGCCCTCGTGGCGCCTGATATCGCGAACAGCCGATATTAAGCCAAACCAGCTACCGGAGTATTTAGCGAATTGTGGATTGGACGCTTGAAACAGAATCTTAACGCGATCGAGAGGAGCAACAACGGTTTTGGCCTAGGTGACACAAGTTAGTCTACCACGTCCGGTTCGCATTCCGATCCTCTGCGTTCCTGCAGAAGCAAAACTCACCGCACATCCCGCCAAACCCCCCGCCACTCCACTTCGTAGTAAGTAGTCCACGCTCCGCTTGTTGACTTCTTGCGTTGCGCCATGGCTCTTTTGCGATGGACGCGGGGTGGAGGCATCATCGACGGCAGTCGTCTGCGCCGTACCCACGGCTAAGCGATCAGTTGTATCGCCTGGTGTCGAGCCTCGGGCCGGTCTCGACTGTGCGACTTGCTCCATCTGAGGAGAGGGTGACTGCGAATTTCTTGAGGATGGTGATGCAGGACGGAACTGTGAGGGGTCGGATCCGGTAGCAGAAGAGTCAGGCTGAGCATGGTCCGAGATGACAGCCGACATGAGCACAAGTCTGGCACGAGACCCGGTGCTTCTTCGGGGAGAGGAGACTGCAGCAAGGTCTGTCGCGGACTAGCGGAGGATCGGGGCCATGGAGATAGGATGCCGCGAGATAAACAGTCAGAAAGATCTCTCTTACGCTGGAGATAGGGTTCGACAAGGAGAATAGCAATGATCAAAAGAGAAAAGCCTAGTAACCGGCAGCGCCCCAGACACCAGGCGTAGGATGATAAAGCATCGTCATGGTGGCACTCCACCAGGCGGCCTGAAGAGCGGAAACTCAGAATCGCCGGGGATGACGTTACGGGCTGACGTGCCGATACCAGCCGGTGCTACTGCTCAGTCAGCTGAATACCGTCACATAACACCTCGGCTTCCGAGTGGCGGGCGGTCGTAATTTTCCGGATTTGGACGGCCAACCGCAGCCGCGGCGTTACTCATCTGGAGATAAAGATAGATAGATAGATAGCTACACTACTCCGTGCTAGAGACTCGGATCAACTGAACCTCTCCCCGGGCAAATACTGTACAATACCCGCGAGGCGAAGGCGGGCAGGTCTCTTTATTTTAGAAGCTTATATATATACTTGGTGATGCCCTGTGAATCTCGTCCTCCGCAGCCCAGTAACACTCCCCTTTCCCATCTATCACGAACTCAAGTATAACATAGAATGGAAATATATGCGGGAAATCAAAAGCATCATGGTCGCGTCGCTCATGCAATTCTATAGAAGTACTAACCTTTTTTGGGTTGCTGACGACTCCCGAGTATCCTCAGCAATGCATGCAGTTCCACCCCCCAAAACACCTGTATGTCCAAAAATCAAAACGAAAGAGAACTCTCAATGAGCTACTTTAGAAGTTGTATCGGGTGCCCTGTCGTGTGAGCGGTTTGCCTTGACGGTTGGTCGCCTTGATTTCTTTGGGCTCATCCGTCATCCTCTTGGCCCGCTTCGTCGGCCGTGAAGCATCCACATGAAGATGACCATTCTCCGACAATGCCGTGGTATTGCGCCAGCGCATGCAACGATGCTTGTTGTCATCCACATACGTCTTGTTCCGCGTCATCACGCGTTTGGCCGGAACATCCTCCGGCTCCTCCTCGTCGGACGTCGGCTCCAAGTACTCTTTGCGGTGTTTCATGTACTTCACGATATTATCACGCTGCAGCAGCAGTTCCTTGCGGAGTTTGGACTCGCGGTGGCCCCGTGAATCAAGCCAGTCGAGAAGTGAGTCGATCGCTTCTGGGTCCTCATAGTAGCCCCATTCGGTGGCATTGGTGAGTCTGGTGTGACCTTCCTCGGTCTTCTTGCGCTCTGCGGGAGTGGTCTGGAAATCCTTCTGGTATTGCTTCCTCAGATCATCTGAGACGTCGATAAATCCCACACGCTCCATCTCATCGGGTCCTTGAACCCATAGGCGACCGTTGGCATACTGCGCTTCTGCCGTTGAGCTGTTGGGCATCCCACCGTATGGCATGGCGTTCCGCTCGAACCACCAGTAGCGGTTGCAAAACCGATCCTTACCAAGACATCTGGTCCGCGGGCAGTCGGCTTCCCTTAGATCATTATCGACAACATTGATCTTATCTTCAAGCTTCTGGATGTTGGCCTTTTGGTCATCAATTTTCTTGAGCACTCGTTGGAACTGCTTGGAACCCTTCGGCTGCTTGGCGAGTTGTTCTTTTCTTTCGCGTTCTTCCTCCTGCTTGCGCTTGCGCTCCAGCGCCCGGTCTATGCCTCCACGGAGCGTCCGCTGAGGAACTTCTTCCTCATCCGAATCCACAGCTTCCGAGTCGCCGTCCATGCCGGTCATTTTGGAATCTTCCAGGGCCTCCAATTCAGGTGCTGGACTGGGTGACTTCTCGGGCTCGGGTTGAAGAGCTTTGCGCTCCTGGTGTAACCGGCGGAGTTCTTCAAGACTACGATCATAATAAAGTTAGCCACTCTATCAACAAAGCTTTCATGCAAACGGGAATCAGTTCAACAAGGTATACATACGCTGCCTTGCGCGCCTTCTGGTACTCGATCTTCTCCTTGCGGAACTCGGTCATCTGATTGCTGCACTCCTCCAGATAGTTGCGGATGGCCTTTGTCTCCAGACTGAGCATGCAGATAATCTGGAGAGCCTGGACACGTAGGTTCACATCCAGTGTAGAGTACTGAGCTTGTGCAGTCTCCTGGGTGGGCTCCGCGTCCAATGGAGCTAGGTGCTTCAAAATCTCATTGCACACCTTCTCCATCCGTGGACGGGCTGACAATTGGTGCAGGAGCCCGATCATCACCAATTCCCAACCCCCGTTGCGGAAATCACGCTTTCGCAGGCGATCAATCCAACCGTACTCTCCAAACATCTCTGCAGCGCGATGGACCTTGACCTCGACGGAGCTCGAACGATCCCGATCCGCCTGGGCTTTGAGATTCTCTGCTTCAGCCTTTGCGAGGCTGCTCCGAGTAGTCATTCTTGTGACCACTGGTTCAGGTTCAGGTGTCGGTTCTTCCTCTTCTTCCTCGTCCTCCTCAGACTCGTCGTCTTCCTCGTCTGGAAGTTCCGGTAGAGATATCTGGACAGCACCATTCTCATCCTTCTCCGCATTGACCAACTTCTTCAGGACGGCGCAGTGCATCTCCACGAATAGCTCACAGTCCACGTCCTCGGATGAAAAGCGCATAGCCTGAACGAAGTCATCGAAAGTGAACGAATCGAGCTGGAAAACTTCGCAATAGACGTTGAGAGTGTTCCACGTTTCGAGGAGACGCCCGACTGATTCCAAATCGATATCATCGTGCAGAAGATCGGCATCCTCGGGATCATCCGTTTCGTCCACGGTTAAGAACTTCAATTCTGGGCGTTGCTTCTTCTTTTCGCGATCGGGCGCAATATCTAGATCCTCGATGGGGTACTTGATCGGGGGAGGGGATGGCTCCTTGGGAGGCTCAGCCTTCACGACAACCGCAGGGGCAGGCTGTGGCTTCTTTTCCGTCTCCTGGGTCTTGGTGGATCGGGCTGCTCCGTTTGTAGGCTTGTTGGCGACAACGAAAGTGGGATTGC